GTGGCAGTTCACGTGGGGACAAGGACAGGCTCCCAACACAAAGGGAAGGGAGTCCACTCAGCCCAGGTAGGAAAAATCCTGCACCCTGGTTTCCCAAGAGCCACACATCCCTCAGCTTCACAAGGCCCGCCAAGAGCTCAAGTCCAAGGGTCCCCAGTCCCTGGGACAAGAACACAGAGTGTCAAGGAGCTTGTGGGCAGCACAGCCTTACCTCAAGTAGCGGCGGATGGGCTCACAAGCCACCTCCAGGATGACCATGGAGGGGTCTAGCACCCTCAGTGCCTTGATGGCGGAGATATAGAGAGTGATGATGTCACATGTGTTGACACCTACAGCCAGGAAGAGGGGCCTGTCACATAGGATTCTGAACAGCAGCCTCCCACTGCCAGCACTGAACAGAAGGCTGGACACACTGATCATGTACTCTAGGGGTCCTGCTATAACCTCGTTTCTGGGGGCCAGGGTGATTGTAGAGAGCCACTTCTCAGATGCCCACCCCCTTGCCACCCATTTGTGAGTGCTTTCTCCAGAACTTTCCTCCTCCCTGCCAGTTTGCTCTGAAAAGAGCACATATATCCCCAGACCAAGCCAGGTTGACTTCCTCCAAAGATGGGTGAAGTTGAAGGTCCTCAAGGTCCTCTAGCTCTCCCAAGAGCCTCAGAGCACTGCCTCTAATCACTCCCTCCCCAGGCCTACAAATTCAGAGCTGGGAGCTGCACCTGAGCCCCAGATCTGGCCACACAGCACCTGGGTGGAGAAGCCGTGTCTCGAGGGCAGCCTTGAGGGACACAAGCAGCTGCTGTCTCTGGTCAGTCCTCTCCAGGCAGTACTTGAGGTCCTCAATGGCTGGCCGGGAGTCTGGGAAGTCTGGAAGACAAGGGAAAGCTCTTAGGGAAAGGTGGCATGCAAATGTGCACACACAGCAGCATGAAGCCAGTGAAGGATGTATGTGACCATGCAGGGGTGCAGGACAAGAGCAATCTGCCAGGTACTAGACGTCACCCTTAACATTTATGCATGCTGAAATGTCTGACCACTATAACGCCCCAGGGCAGGGAGATAAAAGGGCCACTACTGGGCCAAGTGTGCACCATAGTACCTTCCAACACCCCACACATCTGCCCTGACCCGCACCCCAGGCCTCAGTGGAGAAGCTCCAACTCCAAATGACTTTGCTACCCCCTAAGCACTGAAGGTCAGGTAGGAAGCGCCCCAGTGTGGACAAGAAGGGGGACATAGCCAAGTTGCTGGGAAGATCCTAGACAGGCAGAGAAGCCCTCAGAGGTGCAGAAGGGGGACAACTGACCTCGGATGATGCTGAAGAGCTCCTCGATGCGCAGGCTGGCATAGATGCGGTAAAAGAACCTCTGCACATGGCAGCGCCACCGGCGCAAAGTGTTTCCAGCCTCAGGGGATGTAGGCCGTGTGGGGCTGTCCTGCAGGAACACCTTGCCCAGCCAGCCAACTACCCTCTCGATCCACTGTGTGAGAACATTGGCAGGTGAGGCACAGGGATGCTGAGCAAGCCCTGTTCCAGCCCAGCAACTATCTGCCCTTTGCCCAGGGCTGAGGGGAGCCCTGCAAGGGCTTGTGCCAGAAGACAGAAGGACACTAAGAGTTGCAGGACAGCAAGCCCCCAGAGGGTGTCCCTGATCCCATTAGTCTTCGCATCCTCTCACACATGTCATGTCCATGCCTGTCTCTGGAAACAGGGACTCCAGTATGACAGGGGTGCACGCAGTCTGCATAGTGCATAGTGGAAGGCCTATTCTTAGTACCTCAGATGTGACTACCAAGCCCCTACCCCTGTGAAAATGATACAGGGTAGGATGAAATCATCTCTTAAGCATGTGTAGATCCACAAAAGGCCACACAGATGCACAGACCAACCAACCATAGGGGTACCTAGAGTGGCCCTCTGCACCCTGGACACCTCAGTCCCCCGGACTCATGCCTGCTCTAGCTCCCCTGCCCTGGATACTTGCTTTAAACACTCCATTGTGGCCTCTCTGTATCTTAAGGACACATGCCTGGAAGTGGTGGGGAACAGAACAGGGGAGCTGGGCATGATGGCACATGCCTATAATCCCAGCACTTGGGAGGCTGAGGCAGGAGGATCATTGTGAGTTCCAGATCAGCCTGGCCTACAAAGTGAGCTTAAGGCCAGCCTGAACTGTATAGTGAGACCCTGACTCAAAAAAAAAAAAAAAAAAAAAGTAGGAGAATAAGGGAGAAGCAAGAACAGAACCACACGCCAACAATTTGGGGACCTTGAGGCCCACTGGCTCACTCCAGCTCCATGCTAGGGTGAGGTTGGTGGTAGGCCAGTCCACAAGAACAGTCAAGTGAGCCCACACTCAGGTACAATGGAAAAGAACAGAAGTTCCAGGCACTGCCCCTATGAGTGAGCCTAGCCTTGCCGTACCTACCAGGGGAAGGCCCTAGGAAATCTGAACTATGAACTGCCTCCAACCACAAGACTTGGCACAGACCTGTCAAACACATGCCAGACATCCTTGCCACAGTGCAGAAAGACCTCTACTTAGCACCAAGACAGCCTCAGCTACAGCTTGGTTCTCATCTAACCCGGACTATCACCTGGGTTAATTCTCAAGCAAGGGGTCAGGTTTGCTACACACCTGTTCCCACCCCTGGCAGGGTATAGCTAAAAGCAACAAATCCTCACCTTGTGGAACTCGCGCAGGAAGGAACGCTCATACTCGCCTCGGCAGCGGTCCTCCATCCTCTCCCGGGTGACCTGGTGCAGGGTGGTGGTCACTGCCTCTGCACTCACTCGTTCCAGCAGACTGAGCCTGTGCCTAGAGGAAAGCCCCACCCGTGGAGCACCCATGGCACATACCTGGCCCTCACCCTTGATGGCTCTCTTGCAGAACACAGCCAATGCACATCCCTGCAACCCTCCTGGACCAGGGGAGATTGTACCAGTAGCTTCAAGGAAAAGCTTCTGGGAGGATGACCACTGGCAGGTGTCAGTGCTTCCTGCCCAGCTGGCCTCTGCTCAGGCTGGTCACTAGATGGCTTTTCCATGTGATCAGCAGGTATAGTTACCAGAACCCAACCCTTGGCTAGTGAGGACACTATACCATATATACCACTGTTACTGCACAAATTACAGCCACTGATGCCTAAGTTTTCAGGACAGAACCCAGTCTACGGTTGTAAACAGAACTTGGGAGGAGAAAGGCTGCCATGTAATTTTCACCTGGAATAAACCTAACAAAAATCCTTAGCGTTTATGTGTGTTGAAACATCTGACTCCTACCAGCAACAAGATCACTCCCTCAATCAACCTAAAAGACTTCCAAACAGCTATACTCCTGCACTTTGTTCAGTGTGACAAACCACCCCAAGTTGCCACAAAGAGTGTGATAGTTCTTACAATGGGTCCTGGCTGTAACATTTTTTCCACTCTGAAGAACTCAAAATGGAATCTGCATGGCTTGGTCTCTTTCACATATTCTGGAAAGAAGAAATAGTAAGCCCATTGTTCATTTAGGGGGCAGAAACTCCCTGAAAGGTGGGCATTATTTCTTCCTCAGAGAGTCTACAAAAAGCACAGCAGAATTTTGTAAATCCCAGGAAATTTGGAATCAAATCTACTATTACAGACATAAACTATGTGGGATCTTAGCAACAGCACAGCTGAAACCCTGATGAGTGTGTCACAAGAGAAATACTTGTATCTGGAACAAAGCATGAACTTGTTAAACAGTGAACCTTGGAACCTCCCCTCTCTCATGTTCCTGGATATCAGAACATGTAGGAGACACCCTAGTCAGCTCACCAGCTCTCTGTAGAGACTGGCTGGTTCCAGATGAGCAACCAGGGAATCAACAGGGACAAAAGCACAGCCACCAGGCAGTACTCACAGGACTTGACTGAGCTGGTGAAACTGCTCCAGGGCCTGGCGGCACCAGCACTGCTGTTTGTCACTGCCACACCCTGCACACAGGGGGCTCTGCAGGAGACGATAGTACCGGCGGCGGGCATACCGGCTGTCCAGTTCCCCTTCCAGTTCTGGGTCTGTGCCTCCTTCCCCCTTCCTTTTACTCTGCATATAGACTCTCAAGAAGCGCCCATAAAGGCGCTGGACCATCTCCTGGAAGGTCCTGGGGGTGGAAAAGAACAAGACTCCCCGCAACATGGTGTGGACCTTTTCTCGAAGTCCCTGAGCACCAGTGCCCATCAGCAAGCCCAAGCGAGTCCATTTCTCCAGAAGGTCTAGGCTACGCAGGTAGGGATCCAGGCGGCTCTCCAGCAAGCCGAAAGCGTCAAGAAGCAGCAGAAGGCACTGGGGTTCGTCGGTAGAGTTTTCGCGCTGGGAGATGGCATTCCAGAACTCAGGGGAGATGCTGGCCTGCAGGTCGTTTTGTAGCACCTCCACGAACCACTCCTCTAGGACCGAGTGCAGACCGTGACCCCTCAAAACCTCTACCGCCGTACGGAGCTCCTCCTCCTTGGGCAGAACCGCACCACTGGTCCGAGAAGATGCCTGGAATACAGAAAACATGTGGAAAGGGAACACAACACAAAGTTGGGGAAAGGCGGGGTAGGGAGCCAAAGGGACGATGCGGAAACCCCGATGTCCCCACCCGAAGCTGATGCTATAGCGCTGCCAGGGCAGCTGAACGAGGCGGGACAACAGAAGGAGGGAGGGCTGCTGCGGTCCATGGACGAAGCCCGGTGGACCCCATGAAGGATCCCGTGAACTCCACACGGGCCTGCTGTTCTTTTCCTGAGCCTCACCAGCCCCAGCGCAGCCGGAGGAACCAGTCCGGTGCTCACGGTACTCCAGGCCAAAAACAGCTCCTGTCCAGGTCCAGAGTTACTGTCCCCAGACACCCCCACCGTCACCTCGGCAGCCTCCTCAGTTTCCATCTGCGCCCACTAGCTTTCAGATCGGCCCGATACGCCGCGGAGAGATGACGTAATCTTTAGATGGCGCATAAGAATGACGCAGGACGCGGCGCCGAGCGGGAATGTAGAGCTAGACGCGGCGCGCCGCTGTGACGCACATGATGGGCGCGCAGTGATGACATTCAGGCCTGCGCTACGTCCGGGCCGGGCTGTCGGTTAGAGTGGCGGGGTGCGGCGCCCACCATGACCCAGCAGGGCGCTGCGCTGCAGAACTACAACAATGAGCTGGTCAAGTGTGAGCCGGGGAGAGTGGGCGGAAGGCCGCGGGGCGGGGGTCTGGCCCCAGCAAAGGCAAGGTTCGGGTGCTGGCCCCCAGCACCGTTTTTGGCCCCGAACCCACAACGTTGTGTGCGCTCATCCTAGGCATCGAGGAGCTGTGTCAGAAGCGGGAGGAGCTGTGCCAGCAGATCCAGCAGGAGGAGGATGAAAAGCAGCGGCTGCAGAACGAGGTGAGGCAGTTGACTGAGAAGCTAGCCCGCGTCAACGAGAACCTGGCGCGCAAGATCGCCTCTCGGAACGAGTTTGACCGCACCATCGCGGAGACGGAGGCCGCCTACCTCAAGGTGGGGCTTCCAGCCTTGGGCTTGTGCACCTTGCTGGCATCAGGGGATGGGGCGGCGTGACCTGGGCCGCCGCAGGTAGGGACAGCGCGGCTGTGTGGCCCAGCTTGTCTAGGGTTCTCACTGTGTTTATTCTGCACGAGGAGCAGTGTGGGGTAAAGAACATAGCGTAGATCGGTGCCAATCCAGCCTGCCTTTGCAGGGTGGGGAGGACCGAGTGGAGGACAGGTGAATGGGGGGGAGGGAGGATCCTGGCTGCGCTCTTTGGCCCCGTTGGCTACAGCCCCCACGATTGGGCACCTGAGTGTGAGACTTGGGGTGGCAGGATCTTCCGACAGGAACAGAGGCAACCTTTTTGCTTCTGTGGTCTTAGATCCTGGAGAGCTCGCAGACTCTGCTTAGCGTCCTGAAAAGAGAGGCCGGGAACCTGGCGAAGGCTACAGCATCAGACCAAAAGAGCAGTGGAGGCAAGGACAGCTGACAACGCTGGGTGGGCCAGGCCGGGCTGGCTGTGTCTGCTGTGCCTATGATGCCTCAGACTCCTGCACATCTGTCTTGAAGCATCTTTGTTCTTCATGGTGGCAGTTCCCTTTTCACATTTCAGATGCCAAGAGTGGCAAATGCATCTCCATAGCCCTTGGGTGACGAGAGCCCTTAGCACAGCCCATGGCTGAAGTCCTCGTTCTCTACCCTCATGGGGTATGGGACAGTGGGCTCTACATCAGCTCCACATGGAGCCTCTGAGGACCTTTGGAGTGCCAGAGGGATCTTGGTTCCAGTCTAGCCACAGCCTCGTGGGAGCCCTTCACTTTGTCCCCTCTCAGCTTGTGGGGGACCCAGGTTCAGACAAGTGAGAAAGGGTGCCTCCTCCATCCTAGATCCCAGATCTCAGGGCCTGACCCCATGGCCTATGACTGTCAATAAAGGTTGTCTTTACAAAGATCTGTGCCAGTTTGCTGCCTGCCTGGAGTGTGGGTTGCCAGGAACTCCCAGAATTGGAGCAGAAGCCTTGCTGGGCCAGCTGTAATGGCTTTTTGAGGGAGGAAAGAGGGACTGCAGTGGGTTTCCCTGTGACTGCTCTTCTGTTTGCAGGGATGCAGAGCTGAAGATGTAGGGTGGAAACAGCCCTCAGCTGTCCCAGCAGGACCACTGGGCCTCTCCCCTGAATCCAGCACAGCCACACAGCCCACCCTCTTTGAGGGGCTCTGCCACACCAGAGTGCCCTGTCCCAGGGGCTGCAGGTGACTTGTGAATGTGTGCACCAGTCACTCTGGACCTAGGTCCCTCTCAGCAAGGATGGGAGTGCTTTACCCAGTTCCTTTCCTCAGTGCTACACTTCTGCTTGGCCTAAAACACCATCATTGCTGCCAGGATCTAATGTCCGCCTTCCTGCCAGCCACACATGAGGTGTGGCCCATCCCATCCTGCTGTGAGCCATTCCTGCCCAGGTACCCAGGGGCTGGCTGGGAAGCATATGCCAAGCTAACCGGTCCAGAGCAAGCTAGCCCACCCGTCCTGGGAAACCACCTGAGGTTCCTCAGAAGACATCAGGCAGTGTCTCTTACTGGACACACTCTCCAGGATAAAGACAGGTGCTTGCGTTGGACACCTGAGTATGTTTTGCCATTGGTCCTTAGACTACCCCACCTCTGCACTGTGCCTGTCCAGGCAGCTGAGAGCCTATTTCAAGGAGAGCACTCCAACCAGGTCTGTCAGGAGCCATCCATTGGCACAAGCTTGCTGGAGGCTTATGGGTTGGAGGCTTCCAAGTCGAACAAGAGGCTGGGTCCCCAAGGCCCCCACCCTACTCCTGTGCAGCACCCATTCTGCCCTACCCAGGCAGTGGGTTCTCAGGAAAGCCTCCTCAAACCAACAGCAACAATACCCTCTCCCTTTGGGTTACAGTGTCCCAGACTCCAGACTGCAAGCCAGCTGTCACCCAGTGTGCAGCTGGGACTGGGGGACCTAGAAAGCAGAAACAGGCCATGAGATTTCAAGAGGCTAGACTTCCAGGTGCACGGGTACCAGACTTGGGCCACCTAGTACCTTCCCCATGGACATAGGTGCCCATGGGGTCCCTTTCATTCTCAGGCAGAGGACTAAATGGGAAGCAGAGGCGGCCTTGTCTAGTGCTGTTTATTGAGTCTGACATCAGAGGCAAGAAAAAGCTGCCATCAGTGAGAAAAGTAGGGAATGTGAGCTGAGGGTGAGGGCCTGGAGTCCTGCAAATAACAGTAGTTCCTCATCCTGGACGTGCCTGACAGTGCTGGGCACAGCAGGGGGGGGGGCTGGGAGCCAGCTTGGCAGTAGGACAGAGGGCATCCCGGAACTCCTGGTCACGGTTGTGCCACCATCCAGTGGGACCTGGCCCTTGCCACTGGCCCCACCACCACCTGTCACCATTCTTGGAGCCCTTAACCTGGAGAGAGACGTGGCCCTAATAGGACTGTTTCCCAGGTCAGCGCATCCCAGCCATGGGAAAGAAGAGGGTGCAGAATACAGGCAAAACTTCTGGGTACTTCCCAGCTCCTGGGCACAACTGAGGATCAGAAATAAAGGGCTGGTTCGCTTCGGAAGTCTGAGAGGTCATTCTGACTGGCAGGTGTGAGCTGAGAAGAGACAGAATGCAGCCACTAAGTCTTGTCCAGGCATCACGACCCCCACCCCCACCAGATGGCCCTGAGGCTGTGGGTGTCTGGCCTTGGTCTGCCGGACTCACCATGACCTCCTTCGGCGGGAGCTCCACCTCACTTGGGGCCTGCACTGGGGTCTGTTCCTGCCACTTGCTGAAGGCCATGGAATGCTTGGGAGTGTAGCTGGACAGGCCTGTGGGCCAAGGAACACACGCAGGGACATGTGGACAAGTGGATGAGTGGCACAGCTCTATCCATCCTCAACCACCCATGCCAGCAGGTGGGTACTCACCTGACTTGCCATCCAGAAGCCGGGAGCTCTCGGGTGCTACACTGCTCACGAAAGTGGCCCGGGGCAGGAAGAGGGAAAAGGGCTTCTCAGTGCTGGGACCTTCCTCCTCTTCCTCTTCTTCTCCTTCCTCACCTTCCTCCTCCTCGTCCTCAGCATCCACCTCCTCCTCCTGCACCAGGGAGCTCTCGGAGGGGTACTCAAAGGTGGTCTGCAGGCTCTTGTCATTGAAGGAGATCTTCATCTGGGGAGAGAAGCACATCTGGCACAGGCCCCCTGGCCACCTGGGTACCTGGGTGCTGAGGGGCACCTTCAGCTCCCAGGGCCCTGCGTGGGGGAGGAGATTCCTCCACCTGGAGGCCTGGACCACCCATCCTCCCTCTCACCATGATACCATAGCTCCTAAAGACAGATTCATGTTCTGTCTTTCCAAGTAGGAGTCAGTACTCTGCCAGGGGCTTTAGGGGGCAGGTGCCTCGAAAGGCACCCCCATGCACGATGACTGCTTTCACAGGCTGATCGATCCCAGCCCTGCTGCCCACTCAGCACCTGCATCCAAGCGAGTCTTCCCTTCCTACGGCAGGCAGGACCGGGGAACTGTGGGTGCCCTCACTCAGGATCCTTTCCTTCGACCTGGGCTGGAGGGGTGAGCTAGAGGCCAGGCCATGCTGAGGCTGGGCTGCCCACAGGAGCAAGCACCCACTGCCTGCTCAACATTTTCAGCCCAGGCATAGCAGGTCGGTAATGAATATGAGCAGCCACCACCTGTGGCAGATGGGAACAGCTCTGCCGGGGCTCGAAATATTAAACTCCTGGGCACAGGACACCAACAGCCAGCTCAAGTTCCCCTGCCTCCCTGGAAGGAGCTGAGGCAGGAGTGGCCCCAGGCAGAGAACCAGGGCAGCCCATGTGCAGCAGGAGAATGTGGCCTGGCAGGAGAGCTAGGTCTACCCAAGGCAGCTAAGGTAGAACAGGGCACCAAGGAGCCTAGCACAGGCCATGGCCCACAGGAGCAAGTCACTAGCATGAAAGGGACATATTCCTGCCCCATGTCCCTGCCCACAGTGAGGGCCATGATGTTCCCCACCAGGGAGGGGCTGTGCGGTACCTGATCACCTGTAGTCCCCATTCTGAGATACAGCATTTGGTCCTATAGCTGGGCTTTCTGCATAGATGGGCAGATGGTGAGGCTGCTTGGCATAGAAAGGTACACCACTGTCCCTTGCCCTGTCCTGCCTTCTAGCACGGCCACCTGGTCCTCCAGCTGTGGTCCCATGGGAAGCCAGGCAGGGCAGGGGCCAGAATGGTGGAGGGACTGCCAGTGCCTACAGGGATGCAGCTGCTCCAGGCAGCTTAGGGATGGTGTCACCTAGTCCTTCTAGATACCCAGGAGGATTCTGAGCAGGAAGGAACTGGCAAGCCCCATGGTGCTATTCCTGCTGATCTCAGCCCATCCCCCCTCACCAAGCTCACAGGAAGGACCAGCTGCCAAGGGCTAGGCGGATTAGTGTGCCCTCATTAGTCCACATGACCAGCTCTGTGCAGGAAGCCGAGGGGACTGGGCACACGTGGGCATGGAGCCTGGCACAACCAGGCTGGGTGAGGGGTGTTGCTCATGGGCCATCTGTCCCAGCTGCCACCCTTGTCCCCTCCCCCTCAGAGCCCAGGTCAGTAGGTCACAGGACACTGTGTGACTCATGCTACTGCAGTGAGGCACAGCCTCCAGACCCCTGATGGAATGGGTGTGTGTGTGGTCAAGGATCGGGGTTGTACAGGCTAGTCACTAGCCTCCAGGGGACTTTGCCCGTTGCACCAAGCATGCGGGAAGGTGGCAGTAGAGCCTAGACTTTCACAGAGCCTTTTTGTTTTCCTGAAGACCTCCCTGCCTGTGCATGTCCAGCTTGGGTTACTGAAGGGTGTCTACCCTGGTCTCAGGGCCAGGTAGCTGGGCTCAGCCTGTCTTGCCACCTGCTGTTTTCCATCCCCCACTCAAAGTTTCCATGAGTGACACAGCACAAGACCACACCTGCCCAGCTGGGATGGGCACAGCTGCTTGATCCCTGAAGCACACTGGCTAGAGCAGGGGCTACACCATTCCTGGGGTCCCTGGCTCCAGAAAGACCATGGGGGCATCTGTGGGAAGGGTGGGGGAGGAGCCTGGGCATCACTTGACAGGGAGGGAAGTGGGGGGGGCCTACGAGCCCAGCTGCTGAGTGGCAGGAGGTAGTGGCCCTTAGGTCTGCAGACAGGAGGGGGCCACAGAAGTTAGGGTAGAAACTCTGCTGAGGAGAGTGGCAGCTCCAAGTGTTGAGAACTGAGCCTTGGGTACATGGGCAAGCTCTGGGCAGAGGAATAGGAAGTGGGCAGGGGAAGAAGCAGCCAGACAAGCAGGAGCCAGGCCAGGTGGCGCGCCACAAAGAAGAGAGGCAGACAGTGCCCAATCCCACGGGAGCAGTGCAAGGAGGGCAGGACAACTCACCTGCAAGGAAGTGGTGTGGGGGTGGGGCTGCAGCAACCTATAGCAGTCAGCCCAAAGCCTGGTATGGAGAGGGGCAGGGCACCTGGCTCCTATGCCCTGCCAGGCGGCCTCCCAGAACACAAGTTGGGAAGGCAGCCCCCAATCTAGAGCAGGGCTGTAGTCCTCCAAGGGCACAGAGGGATGTGATACCCTCTCCTGAGCTGTCCCTTACCTGCACCCTGAGAAAACCATCAGCCCCTCCCCACACTTCCCCGGGTACAGCCAGCTACAGGGGTACCCAAGGGAGCCATGGGCCCAGTCTACCCAACTTCCCAAAGGGGAAGGAAAAGAAGCAGTGACCCGATCACAAGCTGGTCGGAGCAGCCAGGGGGTCACCCTGGGACCTCATCCTGGGACTTCACAGCAAGGGCTGCAGCAGGAGGGATACAGCAGGAATGGACTAATGGTGCCCTACTTTGTGCCATGCTCAAGAGGCAGGGAGTCTCAGGCCCACCCTCACTCAGCAGGCACCCAGCTCTCGCTGGGCAGGGCAGCTGGTGCACACACAGGCAGGACATCAGGACCAGCAGGCTGTGTGCTACTCCGGCAGGCCCCTGCCCAGGCTGCTTGGCTGTTTCAGGCATCCTCCATCTGGACCCCCGACCCCTCAGGCTGGCACAGACACCAGGGCAAGCTGCCAAGCCAGGGCTCGCTTCTCCATCTAGGTCTTGCCTCCCACTACTCCTTCTGTTCCTTTTGTGCTTGGGCCCTACCCTGTCCTTCTCATTCTAATCCAGCTACAAGTGACCCAACTGCTCTGTCCCTTCCTTGTGGGAGGCAGGATGACCAGACTCTCAGCAACAGCCCTCACGTCTCAAGAGAAGCCAGGTTGATGGTGGGTGGGCAAGCCAGGTTAGAAGCAGGGCTCCAGAGACAGGAATTCAACTCCAGCCTGACACACTCCATGACCACATAAGCCCTCGTCTCCTCATCTACATGAAGTGCACTGCCATGGGGACGGGCTGCCTCCTAGACTAGCCAAGGCCAGGATCAGGAAACAGAGAGGAGACAAAAGGGAGAGAGGAACTGGAGGACTGGCTAAGGAAAGGTTAAGGCCCCTGTGCAGGTCATCAGGGAGGCCCACCAAGGCAGATGGAGCCAGCAGGAGGCCAATGTCTCTACCTGAATAAGGAAGATAGTGCGGGCAGGATGGAGCAGGAAGCAAGAAGAGGGAAGAAGCATCAAAGAGGAGAGAACAGAGCCACCAGGCATAGTCACTACCCTGCCTCCCCAAGAAAACTTTGACAGGGGAAGAGATGGCTGGAGGGATCCTCAACAAGTGGGCTCAGAGGTGTGCCACAGGTACCAAAGAGGCTACAAGGAAAGGCACTTGCCTCTTCAGCAGCTGACGGGAGTCATTTAGGGCTGGCCTTGGAATTTGCCCCAAGGACAAGCACAAGTCCAGGAGCAACAAGGAAGAATCTGAAGAACGCTTTCCCTGTGCCCAGAGGGTTCTAGGTTGCTGGCCAGGGCTGGCCAGGAAGTATGTGGCTCATGGGGCCTCTGGCTGGAGCCTCTAGCCAGGAGGCATTGTCAGTCCAGGGTCCCTCCTGACCAGGCTTGGCCCACACCACAGTGCCCTCCACATTTGCACATAGCCAGGGCCTGCTGAGGGGAGCTCTAGAACTGCCTGATGAGCTATGCTGCAAGTGCCTGAAGGTGGGGCGGGAGTCTGCCTCAGGGTAGGGGTCACCTGAACTATGCCACTGGCCTCCTATCCTACCCCCAAGCCCCTCTGACCCCAGCCACCTGCACAAGCCAGACCAGGAGAGGGTCAACAGGCCCAGATTGCTCCTTCCAGCTGGACCCACAAGGATTCTGGCCTTCCCAGCTAATTCCAACTGATACCATAAGAACCAGCAGTAGGCTGGCACTGCCTGGCTGCTCCCTAACTCTGTGAGGTACATAGTGGGGCCACATCCCCAGGCCCCAGGGCTCCAGCAGAGCTTGATCCTGGCATAGAACAAATAGCCTAGTTCTCTGGTCACTGCAGAAACCCTCCGCTGTCAAGTTAGGCATCCCGGGAACAAGGCTACAACTACCCACAGCTCCTGCACCTGCCACTCCATTCACTCCAGCCAGCAGGAGGCTCCAACTACCTCCCTCCTCACACTGACCTTCTTTCTCGAAGAACCAGCTTTGAGGAGACAGGACTTCTGCAGGGCCAGGTAGCCACCAATCACCTCAATCTCATGCACAGTGGGGTAGCGCTTCTTCAACGTGATCTTCAAGGCAGTCTGGGACCCCAAGGGGCTATTGGGCTGTTCTTCCTCACCATCCTGTGGTTGGGGCTCCCCATTGGTGTGACTGAAGTGTAGCTCCTGGAGGGACCCCGGCTTCCTCTTGGGCACCACCGTGAATGTGTTACTGCCCCGGTGCTGAAGCTCTGAGATGTGCCTGGGCTGGACAGGCTGCGGGTGATACTGGGGAGGCAAACCAGGCCCTGAGCAGGGCAGTTTGGCTTCTTGGGGGGCCTCCACCTCCGAGTCCACTTCATCAATGAAGGTGACAGGCAGTCCTGGCCTCCCAGGCTCCTGGACATTCTTGCCCAAGCTGGGAACTCCCAAGCCCTCAGCAGGCTCAACTTCAGCAGTAACTGGGAGGAAAGGGGGTGGCGAGGATGGCCTCTGCCACTTAACAGCCAGGTCTGTGAGGGCAGTGGCTGGCTGTGGACAGCCGGCATCTACACCCCATTGCCCCTCTACCCCCAACGGGCTCCTCCCCAGAGCAGATGCATCATCCTCTCCAGGTGTTGGTTGGGCCCCAAGCTCCTGGCTTTGAGAGGCCGCTGCTCCCTTTGGCAGCTGCACAGACTGCCTCCCTTCGGGAGGAGGGGCTTCAGAGACTTTCCACTTGGGGATGAACATGAAGGAGTTTCGTGAGTTTGCACGGAGCGAAGCCAGGGCACGGGCCTGGGGATTTCCCAAAGGGATGGTGTCCATGTCTGGCTTGGGGATGGGCTTTATCTCAAAGGAGTCGTTGGCGCTGGTGGCGGAGGAGACCCACTGGCGCTGGTTTGGAGTGGCACTAGCAGGGCTGGGCACGTGGGCTGGGAAGACAGGGGACGCAGCTGGAGTGGCACTCGAGGCCCCGGGACTGGGGGGCGGGCGGAGGGGGGGCTCCCCGGACTCCACCTTTGGCTTCCATTGGGACTTCCATTCGCCCGGCACGGCTGCGGAGGCCGCGATCCTGTTGGCAGGGCTGACTCCGGGATCGGGGGCGGCGGTCCCGTTGGGGACTGGGCGCGCGCCGGCGCTGCGAGGCACGCCCCGGGGATGGACGGTGAAGGAGTTGCTGCTGGTCTTCTGCAGGAAGTCACTGCGCCGGGCCCCGAGGCCGGTTCCGCCTCCGGGACGCCGGACATCACAGGAGGCGTTGCGCTGGCTGGCGCGGGAAGCGGGAGGCAAGGGCGGCGGACTAGGGGGTGAAGCTGGCGCGGGGAGTGCGGGGGACGGATCCGGGAGCGCAGCGGGCCGGGAGGCGGACACGCGCAGGCCAGGGGTCGGCGGTGGAGGCGGCGCGGGCCGGGCGCGCTCGGGGCTGCCGCGGCGGCGCGGCGCGGCAGTCGGGTCGAACTTCTCCAGCAGGCGGCTGACACGGCCGGGTGGCGGCGCCTCGAACACGAGCACTTCGGCGGCGCGGATGCCGGCGGCGGGCTGCGCGGTGGGCGGGAAGCCGGGTGCCGACTCGATGATGAGGATGTTGTCGGCGCGGATGGTGCGCACGCCCGGCACGCGGCAGTACAGCTCCAGCAGCGGCTGCGCCGGGCGCGGCCCGCGCCGCCGCTCCGATTCAAGCCGCATGAACGGGTTCTCACGTAGCGGGCCCAGGCTCTCAGCCAGCACCAGCGGCTCCGCCGAGCCTTCGGGGGTTGCGCAGGGGGCCGAGCCCGCGCCCAGGGCGGCCAGCTTTGCCCGCCTGCGCTCCAGGATCTCACGCTTCCAGGCGGGCATCGCGGCGCGAGTGCCCGAGCCTGGCCGCGCCAGGCCGGCCATGCTGCGGACGCGGCCGCCGACAGGACTGCTCGGACCGCAAGGCCAGCGGCGTCGGTCAATGGCCAAGCCGGCCTTCGCCCCGCGCCACGCCCCCTTGAGCCACCGCCCATTGGGCGAGAGCGCTCGGGCGCCGCCCCACCTATGCAGTAGGTGGAGGTCTGTGGACATATCGATTGGAGGACCTCGCCTGGGTTCCGCCCTCCTGAGGTCATTGGGCCACGCCCAGCGCAGACCGACTTCCTATTGGGGAAGGACTCAGACACGCCTCCGGCCTCGCGCAACTCTCCGGGTGCCCATTTCCGCCTTTTCGATCTAGGTTCGGGACCGCCCGAGGGGAGGAGCCTGGCACGATCCCGGCAGACCCCTGGGTCCAGCCGCTTAGGTGACCTTGGCGAAGAGGCACTTTTTTGTCGCTATGCCTCTGTGGCGCTGAAGGTATCCTCGCTCCCGTGGGTTTGGGGCAGGCGACACCAGATTCACACTTCGGACCCAAACCGTGCTCCCACCTGAGTCCCCAAACACCTTCGGGCAGGGAATGCAGGGGTCCTTGGGAAATAGAAAAGCCGCTTCTGAGCCCCGTCATGAGGAAAGTTTCCCTGAGACCAGGTTTTTGTTCAGCTCCCATACTTGTGAGTGAGCTTCTGGCGCACACCCAGCTACCAGTGACCCACCTTCGACATCTGCCCTCAAAGGACCGCACCGCAAGGAAACGTGGAGGCAGAGTCTTGGACTGCATTCGAACAGGAGGAAGTGTGGGTCCGATTGCCAGACCCTGGACCGAGCCTTCCACTTCGCTGTCAGGCTACTGGGACTCTTGAACTCCACCCATCCCCAAACCGGGTGGGGAGTGCCACTGACCCTGAAGGCACAGCCTCCCAGCAGGCTGGCAGGTTTTAAACCCAGGGTCACTCCAGGCATGGTTGTGCACCCCTGTAATACCAGGGAGCCTGAGGCAGGAGGATTGCTGTGAGTTTGAGGCCAGCCTGGGCTACAAAATAAGTTGAAGGGGAACCTGAACTACACAGTGAGACCCTGTGTCAAAAAACAAACAAAGCCCAGGGTTTCTTCTCTGAGGGAACCTGCACAGTGCTCACATTTTTTCTTCCAGCGCAGGGAAAATAAAGAAATTGATTAGATCCATGAGAACAGGAAATAGAGGCCACAACACAGGCATCCCCGTAATCTTCCCGTACTTGTCCTGCAGCCTGTTAGGTGCCCAAACTACTCTTCTCAGACCTCAGGCCTTCCAGAGACTCAGCTCAAGGGCACCTGGGTCTCTGCAAATACACAGCAGGTTAAAAAAATATATATATACACAGCAGGTTTTGGCTTGGGAGTACCCTTCTTGGCCTCTATATCCCACAGCAGTCTGTAACTATCACTGCCTTAATTCTGTCTAATCCTTGCTGACTCATTACACTGAAGAAAATGAACTGGATCTCAGTCTTCCAGAAGCCCTTCTCTAGTAACTTTCCAAAGAAAACTTTTTTTTTTTTTTTGGTTCCGGGAATCAAACTCTTGACCTCACCCTTGTCAGGCAGGTGCTGTGTGCTGAGCTATATTCCTGGCCCTTCAAAGGAAATTTTTTTAAATTAAATTCTTTCAAAGGAAACTTTTTATGTTCATCACTTCTACACAAACCAGAGTGTTGAATTCCAAATTGGCAAGACAAAACAAAATCTAAACATAACATTACAATGAAAGCCATATTGTTAGTCAGGCTGCTAGAAGGGCAGCACACCTGTTCTACAAATGGCTAGACAGTAAATGTTTAACAGTTTTGTTTTCTAGGGGACTTAGCACTGTTGAGAAAAACTTGATTGTCACAAGTGAAGTAATACTGGTATTAGTCACTTCAAAAGATCTGAGATCTTTAGGACATTCTTCCCTACACCCACACTAGAGGATGATTCTGCTGAGACTGAGAGACTTTGTACTCTGCAGGACACACTTGCTCTCAGTCACATGTTCATGTTTTCTTTTGTTTGTGGGGTTTTTTTTACAGCCACTTGGGTGGGTTTGTTTACTTACTGATTTACTGCTTGTACTAGTGATTGAACCCAGGACCTTCACACTGAGCTATGTACTCAGACCTTTTAATCTCTTTCATTTTAAGACAGGATCTTGCTAAATTGCCCAGATTAGGATAAAATTTACAACACAACCTTCCCAGTTCAGCTTCCCAAGGAGCTGAGATTGTGGATGTTTCACTGTGTCTACCCATAGCCTTTAACCTTATAAAAATAAAATTTAGCTGAGTGCCATGGCTGTAATCCCAGCTACTCAAGAGGCTGAAGTAGCAGGATCGCAAATTTGAGGCCAATCAGCCTGAGCACCTTTGTCTCAAAAGAAAAAAAAGGAACGGGTATGTAGCTCACTGGTAGAGTACCCCTGGGTTCAATTCCCAGTACTGAGGGAAAAAAATGTAAAAGCCATCTTTAGCTTGAGGCGTTTACAAAAACTGGCTTTAGGTCATTGTTTCGTGCTTTATAGGGTACCACTGAAGCCCATTAATGACCACATGCTGGCAAGAAGCCAAAAGCTCTAGTGTCACAAGTGCCACTCCATAAGTCCTCAACTCCAGACTCAATTGTCTGTCCTCAACCTGGGAGGTGGAGTTACCCATTTCTCAAAGCAGATTCTCCCAAAGTAGTCCTCTACCACTCACTGTGCTCCAGCAACACTTTCTGGTCCACCTACATCAACTCTGTAACCAGTTACTACACATAGGAGGGACCATCTCAGCATGTGTCTCATCCAAGGCTTGAAAGGTACAAGCAACACCTTTCAACACCTTTCAAGAAAACATTCTCTTATTTTATTTTCATCTTAGCAAATGTTCTCATTTGGCACCTGACACATCAAACCAAAGACCTCAGGCCAACAAACCTGGGCCACTCACAAGCTCCCATCTGCAGTTCTCCATATCCACCATTGGAACACCTGTTGTTATCTTTGATACCCTGAGGAGTCCTAAATCTGTCTCAGTTGTGCTAATGGTGCTGGCCACAAGGTGGTGGAAAAGTCCATGAAACTGTAATCTGGCACAACAGAATGCTAAGCAATGCCTTGACAGTTGAGTTCTCTTCTCAGGTGGCAGATATCCAGACAGGATCCCATTCATTCTCTTATTTAACACTTTCCTGTCTTTGCCTTAGAGGAAGAAAGGGCTATTTTCTCCCATAACACAGGGGAGAAGATAGAAGCATTGCAGAGCTCAACCATCTAAGGAGCTATATATAGTTCAGATAGATGGAGCAATGAGCTCTTAGGTTACTGCTGCTGATTGGACAAAATTCCGAAGACCAGCTTTGCTACTTTTGTAAGGGATCCACAGAAAATGCTCAAAGCCCAACACATTCAATTTCCAAAGCAGTTTCCAAATGGCCTGGGACTCTTCCCAAGATCTCAGTTCAGGATTAACTACTCAAAGCATGAATAACAGGAAATATTTCAGGAATCAAGGCTGCTCTGTTTAGTCCTGATGAAAAATCTCAGACGACTGGCATAGGAAAACTGGATACTCAGCCGGACACAAGCAGGCGCTGCCTTCAGACCAAAACCTCTCCTCCATATGGCTCAAGCAGGGCCGCAGGTCCAGGACCAGCACTCTAGCTGTACAGTGCGAGCTCTCTGGCCCCCGCCCAAAGCTAGTTGACGCGACAGGCACGGATCATGAGCAACTGCAGGAGAATGAAGACTGGAGATGTGATCAGGCCAAACCAGAGTTCTCGAGTCTGCTCTACCAGCTTCTGGCACAGCAGCATCTCAAAGACGAACTTGAGGCTAAGAACAGTGAGCACCCAGAAGAGACGCAGCACAGCCAGCCGCTTCTCCCCGTCTTGGAAGAGGCGCACAGACACGATGGTGGTGAAGTAGGTGCTGAGCCCGTCGGCGGCGAAGAAGGGCACGAACACATTCCACCAGGAAAGGCCTGGGGCCAGGCCGTCTACGCGCAGTGCCAGCAGCACGGAGAACACCAAAAGGGCCAGCAGGTGCACGAAGATCTCAAAGGTGGCGAAGCCCAGCCACTGTACCAGCTCCCGCAGTGAGAAGAGCATGGCGCTGGTGGGGCGCGGGCCAGGACCCGGCCGAGCGCGCTCCCAGCGAGGCCGCGCTCTCTCCGCCCGCGGAACTGTCCGGCGCACGCCACCGCTGTGAACAAGGGGCCTCGCCTGCCCCGGCGTGCCGCCGATCCCCAGGCCCCGGCCGGTGACCCAGTACTGGCCGCCTGTGGATGCCTGCCACGCCCAGACGCCATGCCCCGCCGGCGCGGAACGAGTACGTCACTTCCGGTCGACAGCGGAAGGCAGAAGGCCGCGCGGATCTGCGGCCTGGGTCACTGGTGCGTGGTGATGCCGAGCCTTCAGATGCTGGTACTCTTCGGCAGCCAGACTGGCACTGCCCAGGATGCGGCGGAGAGGTTGGGCCGCGAGGCCCGGCGCCGACGGTTTGGTTGCCGTGTGCAGGAGCTGGATTCGTATGCCGTGGTGAGGCTCGGTGGCTTGGGCGGGAGTCGCTGCTGGGGAAGAGGAGACTTGGCTCCAGGGTGGCCACTCACTTTGGGGAAGAGGGGCGGTCGTGTCGAGGGGATCCTGCTCATGACAGCCAGAGCTCTTACTTTTCTGTCTTTTCTTTGAGGCGAATCTGATTAGGGAGCCCCTGGTGATATTTGTTTGTGCAACTACTGGCCAAGGAGACCCCCCTGACAACATGAAGGTAAGGCTGACTTGATATGGCTCCCTGCGTCCTAGCCCTATTTTCACGGCCCAGAAAGTCCAGGAAGCACTTCAAGTCGTTGCCCTTGGCACATTAGAAGTGGTTCAGATACCTTCAAGTGGAGCTTGGGGCTCTGGGGCTCCCTAAGCAATAAATTCTTAATGGCCACTAAATAGCCTTGGTCTCCATTTTAACCCTTTTTGTGTTTTTCCAGTGTATGTAGGACTTGGTGTAGCTCTTGTGTAGTGTATCTCCAGGCTGTGTAGCCTTCAGAGAATGTTTTTAAATTCTCTGATGAACTTGAACACACAGGTATTCCTGGCACTGTGTAGTGCTGGGGATCCAGGTGTGAACCTAGTGGCCACATTTTCAGCTGTCTTACAAGCGTACAGGAGAAACATCAGGGCTCAAGGACAGTTACAGTATCAGGAAATGCCTGCTGCTAGGGAACCTGCTGGACGTTGTGGGAACCTGGGGTCTCATTCAGAGCTTTCTGGAAGGAGTGTAGGCTGAGTCCCAGTGATGAATGGGGGCTGGGTAGGGCAGGTAGAGCTGCCTGTGCAGAGGAGAAGGATGTCCTGACCTATGTGAAAAAGAGAAAGCAGTTAAGGATGGCCAGGCTAAGGAGAGCATCAAGGAGCCGGAGGTGTAGGCAGGAAGCCAAGCAAGATCCAGGGAGCCTGATCAAGCACAGTAAGGCAGGTGGACTGGAAGTGAAGCACTGTGGAAACCAAGTAAACAGAGTAACGCTCACATTTGGGCAATGCCACCATCACTCTGCAGGGGATGAGATGACACTAGAGATTTACAGCCCAGGCAAGAATTGCTAGTGCTTTAAGCCAGGGTAGTGGCAGAAAGGGCAAAGTGGACACATTCTGGAGAAGTTAAGGAGGTAGAGTCAACAAAACTGGTAATTGAAGGCATCTGAATGTGGTGTGATTTGGAATCTGGGTCAGATATTTCTAGCAACATAAAAGAGAAGATGTGAAAAGGCCCAGGCACAGAAGATGTCAAGAGAGATGTGAGTAGGTATGCACCTCTAGGAAGACCTTGGGGCCAAAATCCAAAGGTGTGAGGAAAAACCTCTCCCTCAAGGACCCTGCCTGCATCAAATTAGAGGGCGGGCACATGGCCTAGGAGTGGAGAGGAAGGGCACACCTTGCTCAAGGTCAGGGACAGGAAAGTGGGTGTTTCACAAAGGGCTGCAACCATCAAAGCTGCATGGAATCAAATAGGATGAAGCCTGGGAGTCATCCCTGGGATTGTTGGTTAAGAGTAGTTTCCTGGCTCATGGGGTGAGAAGCCAAGTTACCTGAGAACAGAGAGTTAGTAGGGAAGGTCTTCTGAGGATGTCTGAATATTTAAAAATTCTGGCTGTGAAAGAGCTAAGGAGTCCAAAAGAAGTTTATAGAATGGTAGAGACTCAGCATGTTCAGTGTTGGTAAGGGAAGGACAGAGAGAAAGAGGCTAAAAATTGAAGAATGAGGAAAGGAGGGGATGCGTGGAGCACAGTTGGGGCTCTCCTCAGATAGAGAGGGACAGACAGTGGGTGACTAGGAGTGCAGGCTAGAGGTGAGCGATGGAATGGAAAGGTGCTAGCTGAGGAGAAGAGAAAGGATGAGACCCTTCTTGGGTGTGAATTACACAGAGCTGTCAGGGCAGCCAGTGACACCCAGGTATGACTCACACTGAGGTGTGATGAAACTCAAGTGGATAAAGTCGGGAAGAATGTCAGGGATGGGCACCTCACAGAGGAAAACGAGAGTATTGCTAACTGCCTTTCCTAACTGCCGCAGGAACTGAGGCTCCTTTGAGCAGCTGCAGTCCAGTAGGACTGGACTGGCAGCACAGATGAGGGACTTTGAAAGATCAGAGGATGTGATTGAGAGATTCTCCAAGGGGTATAACAAAGAATAAGATAGAGGCCAGGGATTCAGTTCAGTGGCACAGTGCCTGCCTGGTATGAGGTCATGAATTTGATTCCTGGTACAAAAAAAAAAAAAAAAAAAAGAGCAAGGTGAAAATAAAAGAGATCAAAGCTCAAAGATCAGCTGGGCATGGTTGTATACACTTATGCCACATCTGGGAGGTTGAGGCAGAGGGCTTGCAAGTTTGTGCCTAGCCTGACTTAGTGAGACTGTCTCAAATTAAAAAAATTTTTTTTAAATGTATGGAGGATTAGCTCAGTGCAGTGACCCTGTGTTCATTCCCAGCCCTATGTTTGCAAAAAACAAAATGTCTCATGCTAGGAGCCTCAAAATGAAAAAGATAGCAGGAAGGAAATTATCAAGAAAAGTAGCAAAATGTCCCAGAATTGAAGGCTGTGACTCCAGCCTGGGATGTGGCCACATGTCTGAGAGGGGCATGCTGAGAAGGCACCTGCTGAGGCACACTCTGTGGGTCTAGCTCTTGGGGACAAAGAGCATGCCCAGGTGGCTGCTGGGACTGCAAGGCAGCATGAGAACTGGCGCTGGCTTCACAGCAGCAGTCGCCAAACCGGAAGACTGCAGGGTGGGCCTTAGAGGCAGTCTTCTCCCACAACACTGCCCATGAGCCTGCTTAGTGCCTCCAGCAGGCTGGGCAGAGGCTTCTCCCTGAGCCCATGGGCTTCAGGAAATGAGGCCACAGAAGAAGGAGAGGTTGGCTTGCCAGCTGCCAGCACGGTACCAAAATGGCATAGGCCACCCAGGGCCAGTGGGCAGTGCTGGGCACCGATAGTGCCAATATGGCCTTGCTCATCTGATGGGGCCTGAGGGTGTCTGCTGCTGCGTCTGTCCTTGTCTGCAGAAAGCCCATGCCAGGCTCTAGGAGGGAGGTGACTTGATGCCTCCTATCATGGAAGGGCCTCTGTGCTACCAAGGAAGGTGTGGGAAAAGAGTGCTCTAAGCTGGGAACTTCTGGTTCCATGGGTGGAAAGGGATGCATCCCAGGCATCCTAAGGCTCAGTTCTTAGGTCTGGAAATGGCAGCTCAGGTAGATGGAGGTGCGGGTCCTCAGGGATCAGTGGGCGGAGCAAGGAGGGAGGCCAGCTGCACCAGAGGGTTCCAGTGATGGCACCCAGCCCAGAGGCATGCCAAGGGCCCAGGCTGAGTCTGAATCAGAATGAGGGAGATGGCGGCCCTCAGGCCCAGGTACACCTGAGGAGCAGGTGTACAGTCAGCCAGGCTCATTGGCTTCCCAACCTCTTTGGAGTAGTGTCTTTTTTTCTCCTTCGTAATTTATGTATTTTCCCAAGTTTTTGTCTTTGTAATAGAATAAAAGCCAGTTTTGTCATTTCGGTAACAGGCTCTTAGGGAGCAGGTGGGCACTATGCCCTGGGAAGGAGTCCTCACCTGCCATGTGCAGGCCTGAGGCTCAGCACCCACCTCTCTGCCACTTGGGCCCTGGCCACCCTGCTCCTGCCTGGCGCCCTTTCAGGCCTTTGACCAGGGGGTTCCATCCTGTCTGCCCCTGTGCTGAGACCCGTACATCCCCACCCCAGACAGTGAGGGGCTGGCCCTGAGCCAGGGGCTCTAACACAGGCTTCCCCTGACCCAGAACTTCTGGAGGTTCATATTCCGGAAGAACCTGCCAGCCACCTCCCTCTGTCAGCTGGACTTTGCCGTGCTGGGCCTCGGTGACTCCTCCTATGCCAAGTGAGTAAGGACTATGGGTGTAGGCTCCACATACTGACCATATGGGGTGGTTCTCAAGGGCAGTGCCCCTCCTCTGTGGGTGCTTCTGGTGGGCATGCTTGTCTTGCCGGGAGGGCACCTCAGCATCACATCGCCCTGTGCCCAAGGTTGACTGAGACCAGCCTGCTGCTGTTCCCTGCCAGGTACAAAGCATCCAAAGGTGCCATGGGAAGTAGGCCGAGGTAGACAGGTTACGCCTGTCCATCCCTACGGCCACACCTTGCCTGGCCAGGTTGGCCGCTGTGTTTACAGTGTCGGTATTTTCACAACACACAGCCATGTCCCTACGTGCTGTCACTTTGTGTCACTGCCTAGTAAATAAGGGGTTTGTGTTCAGGGTACAGATGGCATCTTATGAGGCACTAGCTGCCCAGCAGGATCCTCTGTCACTAGAGGAAGGCATAGAAAACAGGCAAAGGAGTGGCCTTGAGTCATGTCCTGCTGGGAGGTCTCTATCCTGGGCTATGCAGCCCTGAGGGTGAGAAATCCAAAGGCCAGCTTTGCTTTATAAACGAAAGGGAAATTGATGCCTAGGAAGATGTCTGACACCCCCTAACTCGAAGCTGTTAGCCAAGTGGTGACCAGGTGCCAACCAGGGTGAGGACTGACCAACAGGGCAGGACTGTCCCCCCTTACCAGCTGCTTCTTGGTGACCTGGGCCCTGGTGCATCCTGGGCTGCAGTGCAGGCCCCGCCCAGCCTTTCCACCTCCGCAGATTCAATTTTGTGGCCAAGAAGCTGCACCGCCGGCTGCTTCAGCTCGGAGGCAGCGCCCTCCTGCCTGCATGCCTTGCTGATGACCAGCATGAGCTGGGGTGAGTGTGGGCCGCAGGGCTTCCTCACAGCTGTGGGGGGTAGGTAGGCCATTTGCCAGTAGCCAACCAGTGTTCTCTCTCTAGGCCCGATGCCGCCATTGACCCCTGGTTGGGTACCCTGTGGGAGAAGGTGCTGGGCCTGCACCCGGTGCCCCTGGACCTCCCTGAGATCCCCTCTGGAGTCCCGTGAGTGAGGGCCCTGGGGAGTCTGCACATGTACCCTGGCCAGAGACCTTGCCCTAGTCCTCCAAGTGGGACCAGGAAGGAACCCAGGGCCTAATGCCAGCACTCCTAGAGCCCTTGGATGCTGCCCATCCCCCCGGGCCTGATGCTCATATCCTTCCACCCCGCAGCTTGCCCTCCACATTCATCCTCCAGCTCTTCCAGGATGCACCCAGCACAGTCCCCCAGGAGTCAGCCACATCCAGTCTGGACTCTTCTCAGCTCCCATCAGAGTCCCAGCCCTTCTTGGCACCCATGGTCATGAACCAGAGGGTCACGGGCCCCTCACACTTCCAGGACGTGCGGCTAATTGAGTTTGATATCACTGGCTCTGGCATCAGGTGGGGGCCAGCCTGAGACCCCTTCCACATGGGGTGCCTGGTACCTAGGGACCCAGGGCAGACAGTGGACCCAGGACTCAAGAGTCTGCATCTACTAGGGTGAGGGCAGCTCGGCAGCCAGAACCTCATTCACAAATCCCCCCACTGCCCTGGGAGCCCACCCCACCCCCGCCATACATCCCCTGCCCCCAGCCTGCCATCCCTCCCATATTGTCCCACACAGCTTTGTTGCCGGCGATGTGGTACTGATTCAGCCATCCAACTCAGCTGCCAATGTCCAGCAGTTCTGTCAGGTGCTGGGCCTGGACCCTGATCAGTGGTTTACACTGCAGCCTCGCGAGCCAGGTGAGCTGGGTGGAGCCATCTACCCACCCATGGCCCCACTGAGGCCCCAGCCATGACACCTCAACTCCCGTTGCAGGTGTGTCCTCTCCACCAGGGCTGCCCCAGCCTTGTTCCGTGTGGCACCTTGTGACTCGATACCTGGACATAGCCAGCGTGCCCCGCCGCTCTTTCTTTGAGCTCCTAGCCTGCCTGTCCCCACATGAGCTGGAGCGGGAAAAGCTGCTGGAGCTCAGCTCAGCCACAGGCCAGGAGTTACTGTGTGAATACTGCAGCCGGCCCCGCAGGACCATCCTGGAGGTCAGGACCAACCTGGAGGCCATAGGGTTGCAGGCAATGGATCCTAAGTTATAGGCCATGAACTCATGCTGAAGGTCCTCTGCCCAGGTGCTGTGTGACTTCCCACACTCTGCAGGTGCCATCCCCCCAGACTACCTGCTGGACCTCATCCCACGGATCCGGCCAAGAGCCTTCTCTATCACCTCATCCCTGCTGGTGAGGGCTGGGGCTGGGGTTTGCAGGCAGGGTCACCTCTGAGCAGGAGTTGCCTCTCAGCCATGGCACCCACTGTCCCCTCAGGTTCATCCTAACAGGCTGCAGATCCTCATGGCTGTGGTGCAGTATCAGACCCGCCTCAGGGAGCCCCGCCGGGGTCTCTGCTCCTCCTGGCTGGCCTCCCTGGACCCTGGGCAAGGTGACACCCGCAGCTAGGAGGAGGCAGCAGGGACTGGCCCAGCCCTCCCATTCTGCTCCATGCCTACATCAGGGCCTGTTGACCAGACCCATTGAGCCCCTTCATGCCACCTCCCTCCTGTGGCAGATCCTATCCGAGTGCCTCTGTGGGTGCGGCCAGGCAGCTTGGCCTTCCCGGAGTCCCCAGACATACCTGTGATCATGGTGGGACCTGGTACCGGCGTGGCCCCCTTCCGAGCAGCCATCCAGGAGCGTGTGGCCCAGGGCCAGACTAGTGAGTGCAGGGATCCCAGGCTGGGTCACCTCTGGGGCTGGCCCACAGGACCCCCAGCATCTGTCCGGCCTGAGGCCACCCTGCACTCCCCAGGAAACTTCCTGTTTTTTGGCTGCCGCTGGCGGGACCAAGATTTCTACTGGAAGGCTGAATGGCAGGACCTGGAGAAGAGAGGCTGCTTGACACTCGTCACAGCCTTCTCCCGGGAGCAGGTGGGTGTGCTCCAGGGTGGGGGTGGGGGTGGGGGATAGGAGGAGGGCCGCAGACTCAGCCCCACCACCGTGCAGGAACAGAAGGTGTACGTGCAGCACCGACTCCAGGAGCTGGGACCACTTGTCTGGGAGCTGTTGGACTGCCATGGCGCTTACTTTTACCTGGCAGGGTGAGCCTAGGCTCAAGTGGGTGCCTTGGGGGCCCTGGCCCTGCAGGATTACAACTGCACTGACTATCTGTGGCCTGCCCATCTAGCAACGCCAAGTCCATGCCAGCAGACATCACGGAGGTCCTGATGTCCATCTTCCAGGAGCATGGTGGGCTCTCCGGACCTGATGCTGCCACTTACCTTGCCAGGCTCCAGCGGACACTACACTTCCAGGCAGAGACCTGGGCCTGAGGGACCGCCCATCAGCCCACAGTCATCCTGATAGCTGTCCTGGGCCCATGGGTCAGTCCAGGGCAAAGCACTTGGTAGAGGAGCACCTCAACCCCCAGGCCTTTCCATACCCTGGGGGTCCTCAGCTCTAACACTGTCCCACTGGTTGCCCTAGGGATACCCCACCCTGCCCATGCCCTGCCCCACTGGCCTTGCCTGTGTCCCTGACTCTGGCACAGGACACTGCTATCTGCCCTGGGGATTCCCCAGCACCTCCTATGGCAGCTTGAGGTACCATGCTGCTCCCAGATGTCCATAGCTCCCACAGGTTTAGGCTTAGACCAGAGGCCGCCAGGACTCCCACAGCCTCCTAAATTGTGTGAAGAGGCCAGACCAGAGGCTGCCAGGACTCCCACAGCCTCCTAAATCGTGTAAAGAGGCCAGACCAGAGCCTGCCTCTCCTGTCCTAGAAGCCTTGGCAGTAAACGTGGCCTCTGGGCAGCTGTTCCCAAGTGTGTCATCTGTCTCTGCTTCTGGTGCTGCAGATGGCGGTTGCCCCCCACCCCAGTATCTGCACGGATGGAGGTTGGGCGCCTGCACTCCTGCCTTGCACATCTGCTCACCTGAGCCATCCTGCACTTGGGTGTTCAATATAACATGAACTCATGAATTCGGGGTCCCAGAGGCACCCCGCCAGGCCTGCCCTCCCTGTGAAGGTGGAGTGCCAGCTCTCTGCTGGCCCAGAGCTGTGGGAAATGATGGTGCCGCCCAGGCTTCCCTTTCCACCCAGGAAGGGGCGGGCAAGGGGTGTGGCTTTTGGTTCCCACCCCTCCAAGGCTTCAGCTCTGGGTAGGGCAACTCTGGCAGAGTGGCTGGGCCTGTGAGCCTGTCCAGGCCAGAGGCAGAAGAGCGTTTCTTTGATCAATTGATCAGTCACTGACTTGGCGATTGGACTGGGCTGGGGCTGAATGCCGGCAGGATCTCACCAGGAAGGGCTCCGTGTGAGCACACCACAAGACTCAAGGGGAGTTCCCGTGGGGCCAGAGAGTCCAGAGGTGCGGCAAGAGGTCAGTAGTCAAGGGAGCAGTGGGTGGTGTCCAGCCCCTTCTGGCCACTGAGGGCCACGCTGACCAGCACACCTCCCCCACAACCTCTGCAGCCTGGAGCCCCCACCCACTCATCCTAACTCCTGCCCTCAGGACCCTACTCCAGGCCCCACGGACCCTAGCCCTGGGCCTTCCAGACCTCTGTGGGCCTCTCTGGGTCCTGAGCATCTGGACTCACAGTGCCAGCCTCCAGTGGATGATGGGGGAGACATCGGGACCCCTCAGGGTGCTAGGACTGTCGACAGTGAGCCTCTGCTAGGGGCCACAGCCTCCGCCAGCACCTGGCTCCTGCCAGTTGTAGGGGAGCAGGTGGAGGACCATGGGCAGAAGGAGGAGGAGGAGGAATGCCCCATCTGCACAGAGCCCTATGGGCCCAGTGAGCACCGCCTGACCCTGCTGAACTGTGGCCATGGCCTTTGCACGGGCTGCCTGCACCAGCTACTAGGCACAGCCCCTGGCTCAGACCTGGGCCGTGTGCGCTGCCCTCTGTGCCGCCAGAAAACACCCATGCTGGAGTGGGAGATCTGCCGGCTGCAGGAAGAGCTACTTCAGGCCGACGGGCCCCAGCGCCCACCACCCCCTGCACCCCCCACTCCTCCTGGCCGCAGGCCAGGTCCCTGGGGCTCCCTCGAGCACCGCTACCAGCCACGCTTCCTGGCAGGGCCTGTGGGGAGCCGGGGTTGCCTGCCCTTCCTGCCCTGCCCACCCAGGCTGGGCATCCAGCTGTGGGCACTGCGAGATCGTGGTCCCTGTGCCCGCCGCCTGGTGCTGCTGACCCTCCTGGTGCTTGAGCTACTGGGGCTGCTGCTCATCTTCACACCGCTCATGCTGCTGGGACTGCTCTTCATGCTTCTGGACCGTGCCAGCCGCTGAGCTAGGCTGGATGGCAAGCTCAGGCTGGAGAGCCCAAGCTCAGACCCAGCCCTGGCATTCCCCACATCCCACACAAGGCGATGGCCTGGGCAGACTGCCCATTCCACCTGCAGCCCAGATGCAAGCTGGGCCCAAGGACACCATGCAAGGACAGCTGCTGGAGGAGACCAGGGCAGCAGGGAGAACTGTGAGCCAGGCCCTGTGCTGGCCATGGCCCACTGAGCCATGCTGCCCTCTTCTGAGACCCAGCTGAGGAGGGCAGCACAAATGGCTGACACTCAGAAGGAGTGTGGCCTCTAGATCAGGGTCAGTGTGTCCTCAAAGGTCAGGGGAGGGGCCTCCACAGCACATGACTGATCGAGACTCCGTACCCAGCCCGGTCAGGACCAGGGGTGACCCAAGGAAGCCAAGGGCTTAGCTGTGCTGGTTCCCAACACAAATCCTGAGGCCTTCACCTGCAGGATGCCACAGTCGTGGGCGAGTGGCATGTGACTGAAGTGGGGTGTGGAGTACTGCCTGGTACAGGAAGTGGCTCTCAATAAACATCAGTTCCTGACACCACTGTTACATGCCCTGGCTGTCCTCCCTGTTGCCGGGTCTCTACCATCAAGGCAAAGCTGCCCCACGTGGCAGTGCAAAGGTACCTTCCCCAAACCCTGGCAATTCAGGGTCCTAGTCCTAATGCTCACATGCATACAGGGCCAGGGGAACCGGGAGAGGGAACACCTGATTTTCCCCCGACACCACTGGCCAGAACAGAGGGCAAATCCTGTCTTTACTCAGCTATGCCAGCTCTGCACACTGGCCACAGCCTGTGGGCGCACAATGGCAATGCACTGAGACTAGGCCTTCAGGTTTTGTGCACAAACACAGCCAGACCCGGCCCCCTGAGCAGCACGCCCCAAACTGGCTCCAACCAGCAAGGCAGGGCCTCCCACTGGCAGCTCCAAGCTGGACACCATCTGGGCTGCAGCCATGGTGCCTACTGGGTCCAGCCCTCCGGAGTGAGCCTCAGTCCAGGGAACAGGTGCAAACTTTGGCAAAGAGTTTTAATGGCAGAGTTGGCTGCAGCGACAGTGCCACGCGGGGTAGGGCCACAAGCCATGATGGGCGAGGAAGGGTCAGTGGGCGACAGGGCAGGGCCGGGTCCTAAAGAAGCAATGGGTGAGGGCGGTAGCCAGTGGCCAGCAGGTGGATGCTACATGATGGAGCAGGCAGACAGCGGGTTCCGCACGTGGCAGGTGCAGGCAGCCCCACAGTACTGCCTAAAGGTCTGGTAGCAGCTGCCCTCAGGCTCGCCCCCCCACTGGCCCCCGGAAGGGGCGGTCAGTGACTCAGGCGGCAGGCGGCTCAAGATGGAGGTGTTGACAGCCAGTGCAGCCAGGCCGTAGTCGGTGAAGAGCACAGTCTCCCGGCGGCAGGTGGGGCAGGAGATGAACTTGTACTTGGGGCAGGACTCGTACAGGATCTGCAGACACTGCTCACACACCGAGTGCAGGCAGGACAGCACGCGGGGCCGGCGCTGTGTGACGTTGTAGGTGTGCCCGCAGGTGGGGCACTCCAGGGGCTCCCCAACTGCCGCCACCCCTGACGATGAGGAGCCCCCTGAAGCTGCCGAGCTGGGCCGAATCACATACTGATTCACGATCACCTCATCCGCAGGGGCCACGCGAGGGAAGCCCAGTTCCGAGCTGCCTTTGCGGGGTCGCCGTGGTAGGGGTGGAGTGTGGGGAGCCCCTTCCAAAGCAGGCATGTCCCCACCACAGGCCTGGTTGACAATGATCTCCGTGTCAGAGGGCCAGGCACGCTTGGGTGCTAGAGTGGGGGTGGGCCGAGGTGCAGGTGGGAAGCAGGGGGCAGCCGCTGGAAGCTCAGGGAACTTTTCAGGATGCACGATCTTCATGGCCTCCATCTTGAGGATGACATGTGGGCCCTTCAGGCAGGACATTAGGAGGCCCGGCCAGCCGCTGCCCACCTCGGGCCCAGGATCAGCCAGCATCCGGTTGTCTCCAGTCACACCAGACGTTCGGGTGGGCGGGGGCGTTGGGTGTGGGCGAGGGGGAAGGCAGGGGAGAGCATCCTCCTGGTCCTGCCCAGCTTGATGTGGACCCCGGCCACCCCGTGGACTCCTTGGGGCGGCTGATGAGACCTGGTGGGGCAAAGTACCCCCCAGTGGCCACGGCGGCCTCTCTGGTCCAGTCCTGGGAGGAGGAGGCAGGGGCGGGGGCGGGGGCGGCAGGCGGGGGCAGGGGGGTATGGGAGGCTGCGCTGGGTTTGGGGTCTGGCCCAGTCGCTCACCCAGGGTCTCTGGCTGCCGAGGTTGGCCAGGGGGCGCTGTGGGCGCTCCCCCTGCAGCCAGGGTCAGCAGTCCCCGGGCCGGGACATCGGGGCAGGCAGGGGCTAGGTGGGCCCCATGGCTCCAGGACAGGGCTCCCAGGGAAGGCAGCTAGCCTGAGCACCGGCTGCAGAAGGCCCCGGGCTGCAGGCTCCTCGGCGCGAGCACAGGCGAGGCCTGCACCAGGCCCGAGCTGCGGGCAAGAGGTGGCGTGAGCACAGCACCCGAGCACACAGCCCCGAATGCCCTCGACCCCTCCCTGCACAAAGGCTTGCGCATCCGACCTCTGACCCTGACCTCCGCCGCGGGGTCCTGACCTCGCGGGTCCGGCCCCTCCCTTCCCCCTTCCAGACGCCGTTGCTCAGACTCCCGCGGCCCGGTCGCGCCCCTCCCCCGCTCACCTGCCCCAGCCTGGCGTCCCCGGCTGCGCGCCGCCGCCGCGGAGGTTGCTTGAAAGGCAGGCCCCGATGCGGCGCCCGCCTTCGGCCGGTGGCTCGGAGGCTCCCGCGGCGACCCTGGTGATGGCGGGAGCGGGAGGTACCCAGGGGCGCGGGCGCGGGGCTCGGCCAGGCGGCGGCAGGTGCGTGCAAGCGTGGCGCGCTCTGCGGCGGAGGCGCGGGGACCGCAGTGCGCGCGGCGCCCGCCCGCGCCCGCAGCGCCACCCCCCGTCTGGGGACCCGCTCGGGGTCCGCGGGGCGGGGCCAGTCTCTCGCCGCCCCTGGGTCCGTTCAGAGCCTGGCTCCCGCCGCCGGGTCTCCCTCTCGGTGGAGAGGCTCCGGACCCCGCGCAGCGCCCGCTTTCTCTGCGCCCCTCCTGGTTGACACTGGATTTGGATCAGCACCCCCACCCAATTCTGGAAAAGAAACCTATCCTCACATCTCAAGACCCTACAATGCCCACATGGGAGGGGGGACCTGCGAGTGTCCCCTCTGCGTATGCCTTGCGCGTGCCCGGAAGCAAGGTCTCTGCTGCCCTCCAGGGGCTCCGTGGGTGCCTGAGTCCTCTGCGTCCGGCTGTGTCCAGGACCAGCCAGCTCAGAGTGATTACCACGGGAAGTTGAGGGTACCAGGGCTTGGGCGGAGACTGAGGACCCCGAGAAGCAGGGAGGAAGGGTGGAGCGCGGGCACGCGGAAGGCTGGGGTGTCCGGCGGGCCACGTGCTGGGCAGAGGGCCGCCCGCCGACTACAGTCACCTGCTTGGGCAGGGCGGCCCTGGCATCCTGTCAAGCACGCGCGCCCTGTCGCGTCATGCTGTGTGCTAACCTGACCCACCCGTCGGGAACCCCATTCCTTTCAGCTTCCTCCTAGCCTCTCTGGCCCAACTACACCCCTGCCTGCTGGAGCCCTGCCCGCCTCTCCTAGCGGGGAGGACCAAGGAGAAGCTGGTGACTGCATGCTGGGGGCCTCCAGAGTGCTATCCCCTGCTCTGCCAGGCCACCGTGCCATATGGCCACCCCTCTGCCTGCTCTGACCCTGCACGGATCAGGACAGCCCAGACCCCTTTAAGCCGCAGCCTCTCTATCCTCTGCACTGTATTCCTGGAGAGAAAAATCAGGGCAAGGCTGGGTGGCACCATGGGACTCTGTTGGAGCCCAGGCAGTGCCTGGGTTGATTCAGCGAGGGCAGCTGTGAGGGTTATGTCCTGAGCAGGAGTGTCTCTGGGAGGCGCGGCGGGCATGATGGGGGTACCTGGGGTGAGAGCGGTAGGAGGAGGCCGCCCGGGGGTCTCTGTTCACTAACCCTAATCCTAATCCTGAATAGACCGGCAGGCGCCCGGGGAGGTACCTGTCCTTAGTTCCCGCCCCTTGCCTAAGGCCCCGCCCCAGGGAGAAGCCCCGCCCCACCGATCAGAACCGGCGTCCGCAGCTAAGTATCTGGTTGTCCGAACCGGGTTTTTGAGAAATCCTGAAACGCAGCGCGGAGGCTTCTGGGGAATAAAGTTTCCACCAAAAGTCCCAGCCTCGTTCGCGCTTGCGCTAGGCTCCGCTTCGTAGCGATGGGTGGGGTTTGCAAGGCCCCGCGGTGCTTCTGGCGCCTGCGCAGTAAGTCCTACTCGCCCTTTGAAATCCTGGGTCCAAAGACCCTCTTTACCCCATAGACCGGACTCAGGAACGTGTATCCGGATCGCTCTACCTAGCCCCACACAGAGCACGTGGGCTGCGGCCACGTCCGATTTGGTCTCGTATTCCTGGTTCTTCCCAGGATGCAAGGATTGCCAGTTGTCACTCAGCGGAGCCCACTGGTGTCAGGCCTGGCCCAGTGCCTGCACTATTGTCACTCCACGGTAACCGGGAGCGTTCCGCTAGGCCATCTCACCAGGAAAGGTCCTGTGAGACTGAAGCCCACGTGGGCAATTCTGGGGTCAGTGAGGTTTATCCACAAGGGTGTATCGATCGTCTCTTATTATTTAGAAAAGTGCCTCAGCACTCTGGTAGCAGTGAGGTCAGGGCAGGGAGAAGCTGTGCCCCCGCCCAAGCTTGCAGGCTGTGGGCATGAGCAGAGCCCCTGGAATCCGGGACGAGCCCCACTTCCTTCCTGGGGCCATGACCCAGGTCCTCCTGGTTGAGCCACGGCCTGGATTTGTGGTCACTGAGTCACTCACCTTGCCCCTTAGAGCCTAAACAGTGGCGGCTGCCGCCCACCTGAGGACCAGGGGTGGGCCAGCTGCTCTGCTCCAGTGGCTGGGGCCACCTAATATTAGGAACCCCACCTCGAGGCCCGCCCAGGGCCACACCCTTCCCTAGGAGGGAAAAGGCACCGCTTGCTCCACACAGGCACCAGAAGGGCTGGGAGGACAGACAGCGCTTCAGGTGAGTCCTGGCCTAGGGACCAGAGCCCCATGCACTCCGCCACCCCGCAGCTTCGTCCCCCAACTCCCTCTCCATTCCCAGCTCTGTCCTAGAGGCAATGCCTGGACTCTGGGGTGGCAACTTGGGACACTGGCTCTGGCTCACACCTGGGGACACTCCTGGCACATGGCCTTGCACACAAAGCACTCTTGGTGCTAGGCACTAGGGCCCCTGAAGGTGGGCTTCACCTGGGTGGGTGTCGTTTTGGGCTCTGACAGCTGTCCCCATCCCTGAATCTGTTGTGTCTGCCCACCCCACAGCCTGGCCATGGACCCCCATGAGATGGTCGTGAAGAACCCATATACCCATATCAGCATCCCCCGGGCTCACCTGCGGCCTGACCTAGGGCAGCAGTTAGAAGAAGCTCCATCCTCATCTCTGTCCTTGGAGACTCAGCCTCTGCCCACAATGACCTGCACCTCAGGGCCTGCCCGTGTCCTGCAGCCCATTGAGGCTGAAGTGCCCAAGGGGGCCAAGGGGGTCAAGGGGACCAAGGGGGCTGTTCCCAGCCAGAGCCAGCAGTCTTGGGAGCAGCCCTGCAATCCCTATGGCAGTGGACAGCGCCCAGCAGGACTGTCCTATGCCGGCCGGCCACCCATGGGGCGCGGTGATGACATCGCCCACCACTGCTGCTGCTGCCCCTGCTGCTCCTGCTGCCACTGCCCCCCCTTCTGCCGCTGTCATAGCTGCTGCTGTGTCATCCTCTAACCCATCCACCATGGGGCACCGGCCACTGCTCATGGCCATGGTGGTATTGGACATTAGAGGTGACCATTGTCACAGACTTTGGCCATTTGCTGCTCATGCAGCAGGCTGCTGGCTTGGCAGGGCCTTTGGAACAGTAGTGGGCACTGACCATGGAGCCAGCAACAGGGACACCCTTGATCACTGGGCTGCAAGGCCCAGACAATAAAGCAGGGTGAGGTTTGTACCAGCAACTCGTTCTTTTTGGCTGGGCCCTTTGGGAGGGTGTCCTGAACCAGTTGACTGCATCTGCCCCCAACTACAGATGCCTCTGTACACACATACACACTGTCCCAGACCTCTTAAGGATTGGGAAGCCCCAGCTAATGACATCTATACTCAGCCTGCCCTGCAGGTCTGAGGTCTGCCTGGGGCTGATGGGGTGTGGGTGCCAGGTACCCTCTGGACTGAGGCTGGGACAGCAAACAGGGTTAATCCTCAAGGCGCACATATTACCCAGGCGCCCCTGCAAGAGGCCTCCGGCAGTTTGGCAGGATGGTGCTTGTGGGGCTGATGCTGCAGGTTTCAGGACAGCCCAGGACAATCCCGACCCACTGAGTCACCTCCAGCCTTGGTCAGGCATTTTCCTGCTATTTTCCTCTGGGCTGGGCTTCCCAGAGGAGGGGCCCTGGATCAGGCCTTTAAGGCAAGGCCAGGAAGGGGCTGGAGGAGGGGCCCACATGTCTGAGTGTGTGGATACCGTGGAGCTCTGGGAAGCCAGGGAAGGGAGTGTGCAGGGAGCTGGGGATTCCACAGCGGGGCAGGCGGCACTGTGTGGAGGAAGCAGAGCTGGCCTCACAGGACAGACGGGTCCTCCTGCAGCCAGCCACCCCCTGACACATCGTGCCTGGTCACAAGGGAGGAAAGGGCACTGGTAGTGTTCGGAGGTCCTGGGTGTGGGACAAGCAAGTCATTGCCCTGCCCAGCCCCAGCCATAAACCTGTCTGACCAGTCCTGCAGGCCTACTGGTTGTGTGTTGGTGGGTGCCTTGCATGAGCACCTGTGTGTCCGCCCTAGGCTTCCCTGTGGGACTGGGGAGGGGTCCCAAGGCCCTGCCAGCGTGTCCTGATCCTATTGGGTCGCTCATGTATGCCCTGCCCGTGGCCCAGAACACAGGGCCCACTGGCCGCACATCCCAGAATCAGCCCCTGGCCGGCCAGGAGGCCTGCAGACGCTCACCGTGATGGTCCTTGTGAGGAACCTGGGACGCCATACACAGTACATGAGCGCCACCTAGGGGCCATGATAGGAACATGAACAAACAGGCATCCACGCATAGGCAAGGTTGAGGACAAATAGCCCTGCCACCACCGCAGGGACAGGTATCCCAGGCTGAGCTTGCCACAACAAAGCAGGGGTTGTGCTATGCATCACTGGGGTCAGGCCAGCTTGGGGTTGCCGGATGGGCACTGCCAGACAAGGCAGGGAAGAGCGAGATGGAGCAGACACAAAAGTGAGGGAGGGGAGCCTTTTATTTTTCTTTGAAGTTATGGACATTGAACCCAGGGCTTTCCACATGGTAGTCAAGAGTTCTACCACTGAACAATGATAGCCAGACTTTTTTGGGGGATCTCCCACAGTTCAGACAAACCTTGAACACACTATGTAGCTCAGGCTGATCTCAAACGTACAGTGATAACTTCTGCCTCAGCCTCCCAGCTTCCCCAGCACCACCACACACCCTCAGCCTATTTTTTGAGACAGAATCTCCTAAATTGCCTAAGCTGGGCTCAAAACTGAGACCTTCCTCTAGCCCCCTGAGCAACTGGGATGACAGGCATGGGCCACCATGCCCAACAGAGGGGAGCTCTGGGGCACAGTAGTGAGGTCAGGCCTGGGGGTGGGGCTGGGGGAGTGGGTCAGGGATGGCAGCAAGCACAGAGGGAGGGGTCACCTTATCTCCTGCCTGTGAGCACATGCTGTAAGATCCAGTTGCACTGCTTTGTGACTGAAAGGAGAGCCCACTTCACAGCCCAGCCGCCACCTGCCTCCTGCTGCCTGGCCCAGGCAGGCAGTAATGCGAGCCCAGGGAGGGAGCCCCGGGGTGCCCCAGGGCCCTGCCCCACTGTTCCAGCCACTTTCTCACTGGACATAGCTGCCCAGAGGAACGGAACAGACGCAGGTAAGAGTGTTTATGGCTTGTGCTGGCTGGGTAGGAAGGGGCAGCACCTGGCAGGAGGCTGTGGGTGGCAACAGGACCACAGCTAGCTGGGCAGGACACTGCCCAGATCCATGTCTTGTCACCCCCAGCTGTCCCTCCAAAGTGTACCTACCAGCCATGGCCCACCCTCTGGGGCCAGCACCCACCCCTGCTGCATGTTGCAGTGGTGAGGAGTGGGGCTGTGATCCGTGCCACTGTTCCCAACCACCTCCATGCCCAGGATGCTGCAGCCTGAGTGGTCCTGTGCCCTGGAGGAGGTGGCAGCCCCCACAGCCCGGAGGAACGACTGCATCATCTGCTACTCAGCCTATGACCTCACTGGGCACCTGCCCCGCCGCCTCTACTGTGGCCACACTTTTTGCCAGGCATGTGTGCGGCGGCTGGACGCTCTGGCCCACGAGCAGCGCTGGATCCCCTGCCCCCAGTGTCGCCAGAGCACACCCACACCGCGTGGAGGGGTGGCCATGCTGGACCTGGACCTGGCTGTCTTCCTGGCTGTCAAGGCTGAGCAGGAGCCAGCAAGAGCAGAGCCCCGGGTCTCTGCACCCCTCAAGGTTGATGCTGTGGTCATTGAACAGCCGGCTGCCCTCTGCCCCACCCTGGGCCCCCAGCCCCACTTCCCCCAGCCCCACCGCTGCTGCTGCTGTGGCTGTGGCAGTTTCTGCTGGGGGCTCCCCAGCAGCCCAGAGGTCTGAGCTCTGACCACCCCTGCAGGGGGATTGCTGCCCAGGGCTTGGCTGCTGGGAACCACAGCTCCACACAGTCCACCCACAGCCCTCAGGCCAGCTCTGAGCCCAGGTAGCCACTCACAGTGCTGCCAACCCCATCATGGATACCTGCAGGGCACAGCCTGAAGGTAGCAGCCATGGTGCCAGGGACCGTGCAGGAGGCTGATGACCTCGACCACCTGAGTGATCTGACTGTGTACCTGGCCAGGACCCTCTGTCAGACTGACCAGCAAGCCAGGCCTAGGCTCAGCTCAGCTATGGCTGTGGGGAAGCTGCAGTGGCTGATCCCAACACTCGGGCACAGGCCAAGCGCAGGGCCAGGCCACGGCTGCTCCTGAACAGGTGGGCCCAGGATAGGGGCCTCTCCTCTAGGAAGAGAGCCCAGAGTGGGGCAGAGCCATTTCCTCCCTCCCTGATCTGCACACAAACTGTAAATTTCACCTACTCAACAAGGTTAAATTTCTGGGCTTCAATCACATGTCTGGCACTGTCCCAAGAGGGTACCCCGCTAGGGGGCAAGGCAGGCAGTAAGGACAGCATCTCAGGTGGCCAGCTCTGAGCCCAGAGAGGGAGGGGCTGGCCTGAGGTTGCACAGCTCAGCTGCGCCATCCAAAATTCTGTGTAACCTGGACACAGACCCCCAGAAGGGTGCCAAAGGCTAAGGCACTGACGCCCCCCAAGTCTGAGCTGCAGCGCCCCACCCCTGCAGGAAGCAACCATCATCTGGGAACTCCTGAGAGCCTCCCTGCAGGGGGTGGGAGGGTGGGGAGGGAAGAGAATTTGCTGAGTGGACACCAGCCCTCCCTGCCTGGAGCAAAGTCCCCCACGCACCTGAAGATGATCCCAGCCCTCCCCAAACCTCTCTGCAGCAGCCAGGAACATCATGCCCCGCACCTGCTCAGAACTCACTGCCCACCTGAGGAAGCCTGCCACGCCCACACACCTGGTACAAGGGCTTCCCTCAAATGTCTGCAGGGGCAGGGAGGAAAGATGATCTGCAGAGCTCTGAGGAACATGGTGGGGAGGGCAAAGCCTGAGCTTCCTGCCTGAGGCAGCATGGATTGTGTTCACTCTCAGACCCCTCCTGGTGGATGTGGGCATCCAGCGTCCAGCCCAGCAGTGTTCTGGCCTGAAATAGGGTGTATTTGTGGAAAACGCCCCACTCCAAGAGGGCTCTGGCCCAAGTTCACAGCTCCTACCCCTGGAAGACAAGGCCCAGGGGCTCCAGGGCCTGGCAGGTCTCCCCTCAGGGGCCTCAGCACTTGGGTAAACATTAATGGGGCTCAGGACATAGCAGGTCATGTGGGCACCCAGCGAATCTTTGACCTGAAGCTGCTCCCACGGCCTCCTCCCCATGGTACCCCTCACCACCTATACAGGTAGGAGCTCCCAGAACCAGACCAGGGCCCAGGGACTCGGAGGACAGGATGGGAACCCCCTCCCCCGCAAACGACAGCAGCCCAGGGCAGGCAGAACAGAAGGGCTGCACATGGACCCTTGAGCTAAACCCAGAGGCCAGGTGGGCGTCAGGGTAGAGGGTCAAAGGGAAGTTCTGCAGGCAGCGGCCCTGGAGCAGAGCTACAGAGGCAGGAGCCATGCTGTGGGCTGGAGCACCTGAACCCCCCGAGCACCTTGCCCAGCTCCTCATCTGGCACATTTGTATCAGGTGCCAAGGTCTCTTCCCAGTGACACCTGATGAGAGAGGTCTTGGGCTCCCCAGATTCTGCACCTCACAACCCTGTGCCCTGTGGCACCACCAGGCTTTCTTCCAACTCAGACCAGTGAGCAAGCTGGGGAGTGAGGAGTTCCTCACTCTGCCCCCTGAAATTGGCCTGGGGTTGTCTAACAGTTAGTGAGGTCACCACAGCCACCTGCCATGGACAGAGGGAAGGCAGGTCACTGGGCCTACAAGGGCAGCAAGGGACAGCACAGGCCAGGGGTCCTATATTGGGCCTGCTGGGCAGGGTGGGAGCAATGCGGGGGGACTGGTCATCTCTCACCCACCCTTCCCCCAGCTTGGGTCTGCTCCTGCCGAACCCCATGCCGAATTCCTTTGCTGGTGGCCAGGTCCCCCACCCCACCCTGTCTACGATCAACCTGGTGGACAGCAGTCTGAGAAATGCAGGTACCAGACCCAGACAGGGAGGGAACCCCATGTGCCTTATATTGCTCCCTCCTGGGAGGGGGTTCTCAAAACAACCTTACTTGACCTGACCCCCACAGGGACCTCTAGTTCTGCCCCAGTCTTGGAGGAGGGCAGCATGAAGCCCTGGGCCTTCCTTCAGCTTAAGGACACCGGCAAGCCAAAAGGTATGCCCGGATCAGGGTGAGCATCAGGGTCAAGGTCACAGGGAAAGTGCAGGGCAGCACTCACCCAAACAGACCCCAAGGGAGCCCACCCGGAGATGCCCATAGAACTTTGCTCCACTTCTACCCCATCCTGAGATGCAGGGCCTTCCTTCTCCGTCTTGCTGGTGAACACATGGCCATCCTGCAGGGACAGGGGCTGGAGCACAGGCATCCCGGGCCCTGCCCTGGGGACTCAGGAGAAAATGGGCCCCTCCCAGCCCAGCATGGCAGGGGGTTTCTGGACTCTGCATGGGCAGTGGAGGAGGGGTGGAGGGTGCTGAGCAGGCAGAAGGTGGGAGAGCTGACCGAGGACTGCCCTTGCCTGCGTCCACAGAGTCCAGCATGGCTGCCAGGATGCAAAGGCTGACCATCGGCTTCCTCAAGGCCTGTGGACTCCTGGGCAGCCTCTACTTCTTCATCTGCTCCTTGGACATCCTCAGCTCTGGTTTCCAGCTGCTGGGCAGTGAGTGGGCAGAAGGACAGCAGGGTGGGCATGGGTGGCCAGCTCTTTGCAGCCTCAGTGCCCTTCTGTCCCGGCTGTAGGCAGAATGGCTGGAGATGTCTTCAAGGGCAATGTGGTGCTGTCCAACCCTGTAGCAGGCCTGGTCATCGGGGTGCTGGTCACGGTGCTCGTGCAGAGCTCCAGCACGTCATCCTCCATTGTCGTCAGCATGGTGGCCTCTAAGCGTGAGTCTGTCACCCCCACCCCATGAAGGCGGTGGTGGTGGGCAGGCAGCTGGGGCAGGCAGCTGCTGAAGCAGTGTCTCCACAGTCCTGACCGTCAGGGCGTCTGTCCCCATTATCATGGGCGTCAACGTGGGCACATCCATCACTAGCACGCTAGTCTCCATGGCACAGTCAGGGGACCGGGACGAGTTTCGCAGGTAAGTGTGGCTGTGGGGCAGGATGGAAGTGGCAGTGGCCATGGCCAAGGCCACTGGACAACCTGCCTTTTTGTGGTCACAGGGCCTTCAGTGGCTCGGCTGTGCATGGCATCTTCAATTGGCTCACGGTGCTGGTCCTGCTGCCACTGGAGAGTGCCACGGCCCTGCTGCAGTGGCTGAGTGCCCTGCTCCTGGGCGTGGCCCACCTGCAGCCTGGGGCTCGGGCTCCTGACATCCTAAAGGCACTGACAAAGCCACTCACACACCTCATTGTTCAGGTAAAGCCCAGAAAAGGAGGTAAAAGCCCTGGACAGGGAAGGAGGGCAGAGCAGGCACGAGGCAGCCCTGTTCCTGTGGGCATCAGGCCCCTACTGAGTCCTAGCCCCTCCACCCTCAGCTGGACAATGACTTGCTAGCCAGCAGTGCCACTGGCAATGCCACCAACAACAGCCTCATTAAACAATGGTGCAGCCACAGCGGGGACATGGTGAGGTGCCTCTAACCCCAGCCCTGCACTGACCTGTGACCTACCAACCACCCCACCCACTCCAACTGCCTACCGAGTCATCCTGAATCCTCCCTGCCCCCACCAGAGCCAGGGCCACAGCAATGCAAGTGGAGCCATCAGCCCCTGTACCGGGAAGAACAGCTCAGCCTCTGAGGACAGGCTGCCCTGTGAGCCCTGCCCGCCTGCCCGCTCATGTCATGCCCCTGTGCCCACACTTACCGTGCTTACCACCCTGCACTGCCCTGCCTTCCACCAGGCCGCCACCTGTTCGTAGGCTCAGTGCTCACGGATCCAGCCGTGGGCTGCATCCTGCTGGCCGGCTCCCTGCTGGTGCTGAGTGCCTGTCTGGTCCTCATCGTCAAGCTGCTCAACTCTGTGCTCCATGGCCGTGTTGCCCAGGCTGTGAGGACTGTCATCAATGCAGGTGCAAAGCACCCTGTGAGCTGGGGCTGAGGGCAGGGTGGGGACGCGCCCTGACTCAGTACTTGTCCTCAGACTTTCCTTTCCCCTTCGGCTGGCTCAGCGGGTACCTGGCTATCTTTGTGGGTGCCGGCATGACCTTCCTGCTCCAGAGCAGCAGTGTCTTCACGGCAGCCATCGTGCCACTCATGGGTGAGCCAGTTGGGCCTTGGGCCTGGGTGGGGCCGGGGGTGCTGCTGGGACCCTATGCTGACCCTTCACTGCCTAGGGGTCGGGGTGATCAGCCTAGACCGGGCGTACCCCCTGCTCCTGGGCTCCAATATTGGCACCACCACCACAGCCCTGCTGGCTGCCCTGGCCAGCCCAGCGGACATGCTGCTCTTTGCTGTTCAGGTACCACTTGGGTCCCCTCCCTGCTCCTATGTGGCCTGGCTCTACTCCAGCCACAGCCACAGGCCTTCAGGCCCCTCATCCCTGGACCTAGGCCCCGCCTCCCCCAGGTTGCCTTCTTAGCATGGGCAGAACCAGGCCTGTGCCCACTGCCCCTTTGTCTCCCAAAGCTTCCCCTCTGGGACCCTGCTCCTCCATTCTCCAACCTGAGCCCCTTGTTGGTCTGGCCCAGCCACAGGGGACCCCAAGGACTATATTCCACATCTTCAAAGTGCCTCTCCTCCCACCCTACTCCCCCATGAACCAACTGCTTCAATCCAATAGTAGCCACCTGGGCACTGCCTGTCTTCTCAGCCCCTGTCCACAGAGGCCCTCATATACAGTGGGTACTCAGGCCATGCCGTTGTGAGTCTGACTTTAAGATGAACTCCAACCCCAAGTGTTCCCGCTCTGTGGCCCACTTCCAGGCTCACAGCGCCACTGTCTAAAGTCTCTCTAATGCAGCCTGTACTGGCCAAAGCTTCCTTCTGCCCAGATACCCACTCAAGCTGGGCTCCTGAAACTGCTGGGCTGCTGCTCCCAGGACATGAGCCAGGCCTTGCCTGGCTCCCACTGAGTCGTTGCCCTTCCCCTCCCACTGCAAGGCCCTGCCCCAGCCTCTCCGGAGCCTCTCCCAGAAGCTCCCAGCCTTGCCCTCTCCTGGAGGGCATGTAGCCCTGGGCCTCCTCCCACAGTCAGCAGTGATACAGTTACCAACAGGGGTGCTGGCTCAGGCCCCCGATTCTCAGGTGTGTGCTCAAGGGTGGGTGGCAAGCATCTGACCACACTTGGCTGGAAGCTATCCTCTCAGGGGCCCCATCTTAGCTGCAAGCAGGATGAGCAAGACAAGCTTCAGACATGGGTCCTTTTTTGCGGTGGCCAGGGCTAGAGAGCCCAGGTGACCCCCATCACCTGACCCAAGCTGCTGACCTCTCCCTGCCCAACAGGTTGCCCTCATCCACTTCTTCTTCAACCTTGCTGGCATACTGTTATGGTACACAGTGCCCATCCTGAGGTTGCCCATCCCGCTGGCCAAGCGCTTTGGGGACCTGACAGCCCGCTATCGCTGGGTTGCTGTTGTCTACCTGCTGCTCACATTCCTGCTGCTGCCCCTGGCAGCCTTCGGGCTCTCCCTGGCAGGAGGTGCAGTGCTGGCTGCAGTTGGGGTGCCCCTGGTGGGGCTGGTGCTTCTCCTCATCGTGGTCAATGTCCTGCAGCAGCACCGGCCATCCTGGCTACCATACAGCCTGCGCTCCTGGGCTTGGCTGCCCCTCTGCCTCCACTCTCTGGAGCCCTGGGACCATCTGGTGATCCACTGCTGCCCGGGCAGGGCCTGCAGTTGCTCCCAGATGGCCACCAAAGAGGCTCCTGGCTGTGAGAGCCCTGAGGTCCTGGCCTCCCAGCAGTTTTGAGGGTGGGCTCCCAGACACCATGCCAGCCCCATCAGTTTGGGAGTGGTGCTGTTGGAGAGCTGGCCCTGCGGGTACCAGGACTTCTGAGGTCCTACACTCCTTTGCAAATAAATGAGATTGTTACCCAGGAATGGTGGTCTCTCCCTGGACAGGGATTCCAGGGAAGGGTCCCACTGGAGTTGGAGGCACAGCACAGTGTTCAGGGGTCAGGGCCAGGTGACCTTCCTGCCTGCAGCCCTGGGGACAGCCTATAAAGTGGAGGGATAGGCCTCTGGCACAGGCACTGGCCTAAGAAGCGGCTAGGAACATCCTTTGCAGCAGCAGCAGGTAGAGGCACCATTCATGTGACCAAGAACCATCTACCCCCACCGCCGCCCCCATTCTGCCCCCAACCAGACCTTAAGGTGGGCTGGGCTATATGTCTGAGGCACCAGGGGGCGTCCCTCCTCCCACAAGGCTCACTGCAGGAATCTGCCCTGGAGCAGGTACTGCTCACCAAGCCCCAGGGCACCTGTACTTGTGTGCCCCACTGAGTGCCCAAACCTGCTCTGGGCCAGGCAGATTCCTGGGTTGGAAGATTCATTGGCTGAGCCGGTCACTGGTCTGCCACCTCCAACTCTACTCCCTCCCACACCACAACCAGGAAAAACTCACTTCCCTCCAGAACTCAAGCACTCAGCCAGGGACAGACCTCATTGTTTCTCAGGTCTTCTGCTACCTCCTAGGCTTCCTAGGCCTGGTTTTCACTCTCTGCCTACTAAGGGAAGTAACCTTTGCTCCGGAAGCCAAAGAGCACAGGGTGGGGCCATCTTGGTGGCTATTCCTATGGACTGGCCTTGGTCCTTTGCTACAAGTAGCTTGTACACAGCCAGCATCAACTCCTGTGCCCTTTGGGGACACAGCCTGCCTGCTCCCTGGGGAGACCTGCTGGGAAGGCAGAGAGCTGTATGGAGGGAGGAAGCCTCAACCAGCACCTCTCCTTCCGGAGCAATGAAGGCCTTCCACAAAGGCTCCAAACAGGGTCCTTTAAGGCCGCACCGCCTGTCTGCCTGTTGCCCCTGCCTGGCAGTAACACAGCCTCCCACTGGGACCATGGCCACTAGTAAACAGAGCCTGCCTTGTGGATGTCTTAACAGCTGCAGGCTGGAGAGCCAGGGCAGGTGCCCAGCGCTCCCACAGCCCCTCCTGCTCACTTTCCTGCCCTCCTGGCCCTCTCTGGTGTGCATCCTGGTTGGTTCTCCTGCTCCTCACTGTCCTCCTTTCCCCTTCAGGGTGGACCTGAGGGCCTCTTCCTCCAGCTCTGTGCAGCTACCATCTTGGCCCCAGCCAGCATCCTCCTCAGGAGGGCAACATGAGGGGCCAGGCAGACAGTCTGGCACCAAGGAGAACTTGCTCACACCTGGGCCAGCAATGCAAACTGTCTTTCGTGAACTGTAAAATGGCAGTGTCACTCTGATCTCCCAGCCCTGGGGCCCGGAACAGGGAAGCAGGGGCCTCTTCCAGCCAGGGTGTACCCTGAAGGGTGGCTTTGAAGGGGCAAGAATACTGGAGCCCAAAGAGCAGGGCTGTGGCAGGGCTTTTGCAGTGGGAACAACACTAGACTCCTCCATCACTGTTGAGGGAGCTGTAAAGAGCCTCTCCATCTGGTGCTTGGGCAGATAACCTACTAGGCAGGGCCAGAGTTAACTCCAGGACATTCTGTTCTGGGCACCAAGAGGACCCTGTGAACCTCACATGCAGACTTCAGTAGCTCTTTGAGGAATAGGTCCTGTGTTGGTGTGGTCACATGATAGCCTGGTCCCACTTCCTGGGCCAGTCTGGAGGGAGAGCCGTCAGGTCTGCAGGGACTACTGGGCTCAGTGACCTGCTGACTCACCTTCCTGGTCAGGGTGGAACTACCCTTGCAAGAGCCTCTGCCCCACCAGCTGAAGCTAGTCCACTCTGGAGTGGACGTGGGGATGGACTGCTAGCCTTTCGCCATACTCAAATGGTGCTTGTCCTGGTAAGTTTTTAGTTCTGGTCACTAGGTATCATAACCCTGCAGTATTGTGCATTTTATGGCAAGGTAGAGGGTGCTTCCTTAAGAAAATACATTCATGGGCCTGGGGATTTAGCTCAGTGGCATAAGCGCCTGCCTTGCAAGCAGTCAGTCATGAGTTCGATCCCTGGTACCAGTAAAAAGGAAAAAGACAAAAAAAAAAAAAAAAAAAAAAAAAAATTCGTAAGCAGGTGTTGCCCCAACACTCTCAGGTTGCAAAGCAGCAGGGCAGCCTCGGGATAGACCCCACGGTGTGATTTAATCCTTTTAACAAAATTTTAAAATGGAATGCAGCTGTACTGTTTCCAAAGCCGATTAAAGGACCAACTGTATGTAGTTCAACTGTAATTTCTCACACCCTTGTTTTCCCTCACGAGGACAAAGCGCGTCGTGGCCAGGCATGCCTGGCGCTGTCTCCACGCAGCCCCGGGTCCTGAGCCGTAGCTCCAAGGCGACCGGCGCGCGGCCAGCGCCGTCTCCACAACATTGCACGCACGCGGCCGGGCGGGCACGCTCGCAGCACCATCGCCGTACCTGACCTGTTTCCTTCCTTCGTTTCCTGCACCCCGCCTAGCCTAGCTTAGGTTTCTCCCCGGAGTCCGCGGTGCGCGCGAGCCTGGCGGTCCCTATGATGCCTAGCTCTGCCACAGCTGCTCTCGAGAAGGCGCAGGGCCTGACTCACGGGAGCCGTGGAGTCCGGCTGGCGTCGGCTAGCCCGCGCGTAACCATGGCCAAAAGCCCGCGTCCCGCACCCCCTTGCCTATGCGCGCCTCCCGCTGCAGTGCGGCGGTTACCAGGACGCCAAACTCGCACAGCCAATAGCACCAGCCTGTCGGCGTGCTCCCGGGAGACAGCCAATGGAAGAGTAAATCAATCATTTGAAACGCCCAATGAGCAAAGCACCACGGCGCGGAGGGGCGGGAATGTGATAGGAAGATCCGCGGCCGTGGTTGACCAATAACAAGCAGATGTCGTTAGAAAGGCGGGCCTTACATGGCTCAATTGGCGTGACATTAAACCAATAGAATAAGAGTATTTGACGGCCTCGTTCTGGAAACCCAATCCGAGGCTAGCGGGGGCGGGCGCAGCTGATATATAAGCACTAGCGCAGCGTCGGTTGTAGCATTCTGCGCGCTTGCCTTTTTGCACCTGTAAGGATTTCAACGCCCGTGCTGCTGCCGCAGTCGTCACCATGAGGGAGATCGTCCACCTGCAGGCCGGGCAGTGCGGCAACCAGATCGGCGCAAAGGTGAATGATTGGGACACGCAAGCCGGGCTAGACTAGACTAGTCCGGGCCGGCTTGCCAACCGGGCTGGAAACAGGGCGGGCAACTGGGAAAGATGGCGGCAGCGGCCGGCCGGGTGGCACCCCGCATTGCGGCCCCGGGGTCTCGGGTGGGGCCAGGACCGCGCTGGGGCGGCCCAGTCCTTGTTGCGGGGAGCGCAGGTTGGGGGAGGGGAGCGCCCGCCGCGCCCATCCGGGGCGGGGCCGCCCAAGGGCGCACCGGCAGGCAGCCGTGACTCAGCCCGGCCCGCCCGCGTCCCTGGCAGTTCTGGGAGGTGATCAGCGACGAACATGGCATTGACCCTACTGGCACATACCATGGAGACAGCGACCTGCAATTGGAGCGCATTAACGTGTATTACAACGAGGCCACGGGTAAGAGCCCTCGCCCCGCCCAGCCCCGCCGGCGGGCCCCTTCACGCGCCCCGAAGGCCTCCAGTCGCTGATACCTGTCCTCCCCAGGTGGCAAGTACGTTCCCCGCGCCGTCCTGGTGGATCTGGAGCCTGGCACCATGGACTCTGTACGCTCAGGGCCCTTCGGGCAGATATTCAGGCCTGACAACTTTGTCTTTGGTGAGTGCGGGTGGAGACTGGGTGTCACAAACGGGTCAAGGGTCTCCCCCGACCCTAACCCAAGGTCATTGCTTTTGAACCGAGTAACCCATTGGACATTTTTGTGCCCTCTGAGTCACTCAATCCACTTGCCTAAAGCGGCTTTGGGAGGAGGGCCCAACTGTCTGCCTACAGGCCAGGAGAAGTAGATGTAATCTCCTTGCAGTCTCCACGGAGACCCTGGGTGTTCTTGACCTTGGGAATTGGCAGGGATTTGTTAAGCTGTCTTCTGCGCATTGCTGTCGGAGTCCATTTGTCCAAGATGTGGGGTTGCACAGTTGTTGGTTACCGGATTATCTGGCTGACTGTGACCATTTGTGGTGCCTTACAGGTCAGAGTGGTGCTGGGAACAATTGGGCCAAGGGGCATTACACAGAAGGTGCAGAGCTGGTGGATTCGGTTCTGGATGTTGTGAGAAAGGAAGCAGAGAGCTGTGACTGCCTGCAGGGTTTCCAGCTGACCCACTCCCTGGGTGGGGGGACCGGGTCCGGGATGGGTACCCTCCTCATCAGCAAGATCCGGGAAGAGTACCCAGACCGGATCATGAACACGTTCAGTGTGGTGCCCTCCCCCAAAGTGTCGGACACAGTGGTCGAGCCTTACAATGCCACCCTCTCAGTCCACCAGCTTGTAGAAAACACAGATGAAACCTATTGCATTGATAATGAAGCCCTGTATGACATCTGCTTCAGAACCCTAAAGCTTACCACGCCCACCTACGGTGACCTAAACCACCTGGTGTCAGCCACCATGAGTGGGGTCACTACCTGCCTGCGCTTCCCTGGCCAGCTCAATGCTGACCTGCGAAAGCTGGCTGTGAACATGGTGCCCTTCCCCCGCCTGCACTTCTTCATGCCTGGCTTTGCTCCCCTGACCAGCCGAGGCAGCCAGCAGTACCGGGCCTTGACGGTGCCCGAGCTCACCCAGCAGATGTTTGACGCCAAGAACATGATGGCTGCCTGTGATCCCCGCCATGGCCGCTACCTGACAGTGGCCGCGGTGTTCAGGGGACGCATGTCCATGAAGGAGGTGGATGAACAGATGCTTAATGTCCAAAACAAGAATAGCAGCTATTTCGTCGAGTGGATCCCCAACAACGTGAAGACAGCTGTTTGTGACATCCCACCCCGGGGGCTAAAAATGTCGGCCACCTTCATTGGCAACAGCACAGCCATCCAGGAGCTGTTCAAGCGCATCTCAGAGCAGTTTACGGCCATGTTCCGTCGCAAGGCCTTCCTGCACTGGTACACAGGTGAAGGTATGGATGAGATGGAGTTCACCGAGGCCGAGAGTAACATGAACGACCTGGTGTCCGAGTACCAGCAGTACCAGGACGCCACGGCTGAGGAAGAGGGCGAGTTTGAGGAGGAAGCTGAGGAGGAGGTGGCATAGAGCCGTTAGCTGGTAAAGTGTGGAAGCAGTGTGAACTCTTTATTCACCCACAGTCTGCGGATAACCCTTTCTCACTCTGCACTGCTGTCTTTGTCTTGACATCACATCCTGTACAGGCAGACCATTAAAAGCATTTTCATAGTGTGTGGTTTCGCCTCTCAAGTTCCTTCTGATAGGCCTTTCGAGTACTGTTGCCAAATGTCATTGCGTAGTTGTCTTGCATGGCTGCAAGGAAGGGAGGTTTCAGCTGAGCTGAGCTTCCTGCAAGCATGCAGGTGACTGGGGCGTCTTGGGAGCTTGGGGCAGTTCTGGATCAAGGGCCTTAGCCCTCAGCTTTTCCCATTTCCTGAAGGCCAAAGACCAGGAGAAGGCCTTTGTCTAGGAGAGACTGCTGAGCCCCCTTTGGGACTAGCACTTACAGGGGAGGTCGGCAGTGCTGCTTCATGGATCTAGGGACAGTGGCCTGCCATGGAAGGTAACTAGGAGGGTAGGCCCTCAGCTGCCCACCCTTCCCTCAGTGTCCTGTGATCAGGGAGCCAAACTCACAAGGGATGAAGCCCATGTAGAAGGGGATCAGTCCCTGGCTTCTATAGATGGTGGTGTGAGGCCAGTGTGTCCTCGGCAGCCTTTCCCCCAGTGGACAAACAGGGTTTCTGGACAGGAACTAAAGAGAAGTGGGTGCTAATGTGTGCTACTTTCCCCCACCACCACCTGGTAACTCACAAGCAAATGGGCAAGGGCTGGCCTTTCCCGGGGCAAGGGACTAAGCTCACAGATAACCCTGAAGGCTCTGGCAGGAGCCAGGCCTTCATAGTTTGTGGGCCACCCTTGGGGTGGGCTCCTCCCTCCCTTTAGGTCTCTTGCAGCTGCCGGGGAGAAACAGACCTGTGTGCAGCCTACTTCACATCCCTGAGCTAGTGGGGCTAGCTGGGGACCTGGGCGCAGGCCCTGGACAGTGTTCTCCTACCTGGTTCTTGTCAAACTCGTCCATAGCCTGTGAGACTCCGTCGCGGTAATTGATCCCCATCACCCAGGTGAAGCGAGGGATGAAGCCAGCATAGCCTGGAGGGTGTGGGGTCAATGTCCCTGGGGGCAAACCCACCTGCTCCCAGTTGTGTCAGGAAGCCTATTGAGCCTCTTCCCTTAATGATGGTGAAAGACTTGAGACCACTCGGGAGGTGGTAAGTAGGGAAGAGGTGGGGTGGGAAGGCCAGGTCTGCTCCCTGAGTGGGATGGGGCTGGGGGAGCCCTGTTCCCCTCTTCATTTTGCCTGTGCCCCTGGGACTCTGAGACGTACCTGAGATGGCTTTTCTTTGGATTAGGTTGGGATGGTCCAGCTGGGGCAGCCGCTGGAACCTATCCACATCGAGTGTCTCCAGCTGAAGGGGTGGGGGAGGGTACTCGTCCCTCCTGCAGTGATACAGCTGAGAGGAGGCAGGCTGGTTACTGCCCAGCTTCCCCCTGGAATGAGGCCCGGGCCTATGTGTCTCTAGTTACCTGATGCTGCCCTGGGGTCCTGTGGACAGGCTTGGCAGTTTTCCAGGCCTCTTCCCCATATGCCAGTCGCAGGCCCGGGTGTCCCATGTCACTGGAGCCCTTCCTGCCTGGCGGGCATGGTGGGTAGGGGGGATAGGGCATGAAGCCAGCAGGCACCGCAACCTGTCTGGACATGTTCTCTGCTCCTGGTGGCCCCTGGGTGTCCACCTCCTGTAGTGGCAGTTTGCCCAGGATCTCAAAGTTCTTGTAGGGCTTCTGACCTGCACAAACAAGTGGCAGGTGACTACGTGAGCAGAAGGCAGGCCTTAGAGGGCAGGGCTAGGAAAAGCAGCTCACCCGTGTAGTGGGGAATATGAGGCTCAGTCAGGTCCCGGCAGGGAACATAAGGAGGTTTGGACCTGCTGAAGTCCTCAATAAACTTGGGCTTGGTCATGGGGGACAGCACAGAGCAGGGGCTCTTCTGCACACTGGGGTCTGTGAGCAACCGCGCCGTGGTGCGCCCGTAGGTGTTCCCCACCTGGTATCGCAGCTGAGGGTAGAAGCCAGCATAGCTGTAGAAAGAGGAGAGGGGGGCAAGGGCAGTCCTGGCACTGGGCAGGGCCCCATAGACAGGATGCCAAGCCAGCTTGCCAGCCACCTTGCTGCTGTGTGATGCAGGGCAGAGCACCTGAGCTCTGCTTTCCTGTGAGACGGGGCAATGGAAGCCAGAGACTTCACAGGTTCTCGGATTGAGGCAGCACCTGCCCCGCATTGCACTTGTGCCTGGCCCAGGGGAGTTACACCTGTACTGCCACCATCGATTGTCACTGCCCCGTGCCTGGCTGTCTCCACCTGCTGTCTCTCTCACTCCATGGACAAGGGAAACAGGGAGCTCTGCCCTGTGAAAGCAAGCACAGGGACTAACGTGTCCCAGTCAGGGGCCTTAACCTGTGGAGGCATGGTATGGGGTGTTGCCACCTCAGGAGGCCAGAGCGCACTGTATGGACCAGAATTTGAAGGCTGGGCTTTGAAGGGGAGCAGTCCTTTTGCTACACAGAGAAGTCTGAAGTCTGCAGGGAGCCAATGGGGTAGCCCTGCTGGGGAAGGCTGTGTGCTCACTCTGGGTGAATTGTCTTTGGAGGCAGGTGGCCTTGAACTCCTGGACTGTAGTGATCCTCCTGCCTCAGCCTCTGGAGAAGCTGGGACTATAGGTTCACACCACTGTGCCCGGCTGAGTGGGTTTTTTTTTTTTTTTTTTTTTTTTTTTCCTTTCTTTTCCTCCCTCTTCCACCTCTTCCCAGCACCAGGGGAAACAAAAAAGCTTGCCAAGGCCAGCACAGGCCTGTTGTGAAGGCTGAGGGTCGGTCTCAGTGTCAGCGGCACCAACTTCCCAGGCCCTCACATGAGGTTCCCATCTTCTGCACCCCATGTGGCCCCACATCCCACAGAGCCTTCTGCTTGTCACCCGGGAGGACCCAGTGAGGCAGCCTCTCTGAGCTCTGTGACTCAGGAAGTTCCATGTCTGTCTGTTTGCTTCACCAGCCTCTGCCAGCTGTTCGTCTGCCCTAGTTTCTGCTTCTGATGGACGTGCTGGCCACCTGGCACAGCATTCAAGCCAGGTGGGAGGTTGAGGCCAGCAGCTTTTTAGCCTTCAAGGAACCTCAGTCCCCACTGTTGGGCCATCCTGATCTTCATCCCCCTCAGCTGTGGCCTCAGCCTCCTGGGGCCAAGGTCAGGCCTCAGCCTTGGCCCAGCCTCCCTGCAGGGAGGGGCGCCTCACTCTTACCCAGGGATGTAGTGAGGTTCTGGTGTGAAGAGCGAGTGTTTTGGAGTAGCTGTCATTGTGCCTTGGTCTGCCCTGGCAGGCTGGACCCCTTCTCCCTGAGAGGAGTCATGTTGCCTGGCAACCATTGTAAAGGGGCCAGGGCCCCTCTAACCTGTGAGGCCTCACAGGTGTGACCCTGAGGAAAGGCATCCTGCCCACCTCAGAGCTCCAAAGAGTGACGGGAAAGGTCTGCATTCCTTGCCACCCGAAGACTCAGGCCCTACATGAGCAGTAGCTGTATCCATTGGAGAGGCCACTGCCCCCTCACTCACCTTCCCTGATGCAGCCTGGAGTACCCCAACTGGACAGCTGAGTCCTTACCTGGAGTAGGACAGAGGTGGAATCCAAACCAACTGTGAATGTCCACATACAAAAAAATTTATCACAGTAAAAGATACAGTGGGACTAACTCCTGCCCTTCTCCCACTGGGCAGACTTCCCATCCTCCTTGCCACCTTTTTTCTTCAGAATGGGCCTCACTATGAGTAGTTTAGGCTGGCCTTGAACTCAGGGTGATCCTCCTGCTTCAGCTTCCTGAGTGCTGGGATTGCAGGCATGTGCTGCCACGCCCAGCTATGCTTGGCTTCTTACCACTTTCTGAAGCAGCTCTGGAAGTCCTCTTTCCTGAGTGTCTTTACAAGGTGTGATCAAAATTTCAATGAGGGGTGCTGCTGAGTGCCATCCAATGAAAAGGCAGCTTCACAAAAGCATAATAGTGTGTCCTTGTCCTCCTTATTCCCTGGATCTGGCACTGTTCACTTTATGGCTCTTCCCTAAGTCAAAATGACCATGAAATATTCATTTTCCCGAGGCTAGGCAGGAGAAGGAATGCCAACTTGAACTACATAGTAAGACCCTGTCTCAGAGTTCAAGGCCAACTTGAACTACATAGTGATAGAGAAAGAAAGAAAAAGAAAAAGGCGCACATGTTGAATTCAGGATATCAAGGCAGCTGTGACAGTGCAACTAAAAGCGCACATGAGGGAAGACTCCAGAGCTGCTTCAAAAAGGGGCAGGAACGGGTGAGTGTGTGTGGTGAAGGGGATTAATGAGCTGTTTGCATAATTTTAAAAAATTTACACGTTCATTTTTCATTCATGTCTTGTACATCTCATTTTAAACATTCTAGCCACAAAAATGAAGATATCATAGAGAAACAAAAGGCCGCACTCGACAGTTTTTATTTTTATTTTTATTTTTTTGTCTTTTTCGTTTTTTTCGGTACCAGGGATCGAGCTCACGACTGCCTGCTTGCAAGGCAGGTGCTTATGCTGCTGAGCTAAATCCCTGGTCCACAACATTTTTAAAAAGCATAAATAATACGAACAAAAAAAAATAATACGAACAAGCAAAGTACAAACTGGAAGAAAGGTCTGTCACATGTTGCCAGCAGATATGCTATTGGTGTGAAACATTCTCATGAAATAAAAACATGAAAAAGAGCCTCTTGTATTAAAATGCAAGCATAATATGAATGTCCTAAGGAAAAACAAAAAGCAGCCACAAAATGCATGAAGGTTAGGTTGAAGCAAATACTGACTGGGTGGCTACGGTGGCCAGAGCCATCTCCAGGAGCACACTGTTCCCATGGGAGCTGGCCCACCCAGGACCCTGCCTCTGCCTGGGACCAGTCCCCAGGTACCTGGCCAGAGACTAACTACAGCACTGCTCCCCACCACAGGGTTCCTTATGGGGGGCTGGACAAGGACAGCACGCAGCAGTCACATTTGCAGACAGTGCAGTCAGGCTCCAGGGTCCCATGGAGCCGGAGGGAGCCCTCCCCAAAGGGGAGGCATTTTTACCCCTCTGTGCCCAGCAGCACCAGTGCTGGAAGACAGGGTTCTGGAGAGGAAGAGTAGTCAGAGTGAAGGAGGCTCTGTGACTGGGAGCGCAGGGGCCAAGGGTGGTCAGAGCTGGAGGCTGCTCTAGAAGACCCTGGTGACCAGATAGGCTCTTGCTCACTTAAGCTCTTCAGTGCTGTGCAGCTCAGCTGGGCAGCCCAGTTCATTTGGGACACCTTCTATTGTCCTGGCCTCTGTTGCCCTAGACAGAGGACAGGCCCTCACACCTAGCTCTGGTGGGATTGGACCAGTTCCAGAGCCGGGCTGCCCTGCTCTGCTTTTCCCATGCCTGCTGCATTTCCTACTGGGCAGCAGCTCCAGTTCCTCCTCTTCCAGGCTGCCTTCCTGGCCCTCTCTGTCTCCTAACTCCCCCTCTTCCATGGGGCATCCTGCAGCACTTAGAAAACAACCCTGGGTCCTGCTTTCCTCTCCATACTCCCACCCTATGCCAGTGCCTCAGACCCTCCCAAACCCTGCTAGTGTGGACTCCAGGATACCCTGGAGCACAGAAGACAGAAAAGGATTGAGACAAGGAAGGAGGTTGGACCAGGAATCCCTTGAGCAGTTTATGGGTTCTGTTGACCCAAGGGACCCACTCAGCATGCTGGAGGAGGGCAGCTGTGGGTGGGGTCCCTGGGGAGCTTCTGGGGAGCTGGACAATGTACCTTCCCTAGGGTGCTCTTGGCAACCAAGGGGGCTGTGACTTGCTGGTGAGGTCACAGAGCCCCAAGGTGGCCTCAGGGAAGACAGCCCAACCCTGGGTATGAACTTCGATCAGAAAGCTGTGAAATTCCTGGCCAATTTTTATATCAATGGAGGCAAACACTGGACGCATGGCCCTCTGACACAGAAAAGGTAACTTCAGGAGGCATAGGGTGTGTTGGGCACAGGCTGGTGCAGGTGGCTGGGTGGACATCCTGGTCTTTTTGTAGGCCCGAAGGCACCTTGCTGTTCTGGAGCATGGGTAAGATGTGGCCCACTGGCATGAAGAGGACCTCAGTCAGCCCTAGGTCCCCTATGGGCTCCCCCGGGGAGTGCCCACCCACTTGCACGCGGACCCAGCGCGGGCTGCGTGAGTGTGGATCTTGGCCCGGGAAGCAGGATGGGGAAAGCCAAGGGGTGCCAGACCCACACAGTTCGAGTCCCCCACTCCAGTGTTGGATCAGCGCCCTCCATTCCTGGCCGACCCAGACGTGCCTGGCCCTGCTGAGTACGTGCCCAGCGCCTTCGTGCGGGAAAGCTCCCCGCACCCTCACTACAGCATTGGCTGCAGGCATCCAGGCCCAGGTGCGTTCCCGCCTCAGCTGGAGGGGGCTCCCCTAGGAGGCTCCACTAACTCTTCTGACCTGTAGATGGTGGTGGCCGCAGGGCGTGGCACAACGCGTGGCTGCAGAGTGAGAGCCCGTTCACACAGAAGGTGGACTTCAACAATGAGCGCCAGGTTGGAGAGAGGAGCCGGGCGAGCGGAGGGGCAGGCTGCGGAATGGATGGGGCCAGAGAGCGGGCTGGAACTGGAGAAACTTGGAGTGTCAGGATGGAGTGAGGGACTGGGGCGGAGGCGGGGTGGGGGTGGGGCGCACGTGGGAGGGTGACAGGGAAGGTCCATGCTGTCCAGGCCAGGATCCCTTGTAGCCCCCTCTATGTCCACAGTGGCCTTCGCCCACAGACCACGTGCCGTCCAGCCTGCCCACCGGCCCCGCTTTCAGCTTCGGTGGCTGCGCGAAGCCGGGTCCACCCCGGATCCGGGGTCCCCGCGCACGCTCCCTGCTGCAGGACCTCCAGCGTGTCCCCGGTGAGCAGCGCCCCGGCCCCACAGCCTACGACATACACGCCGGCTGCCGCCTCCAGCACCCGCGCTCGCCTGCCTTCTCCATGAGCCGCGCGCCTGCCTTTGCTGCTTGGCTGCGTGCTTGTAAGGAGGCCAGAAGGCTGGGTCAGTGTGTGCAGGTGGGGAGGGATTGGTGCAGGCGGGGTTGCACCGGTGGGCTCCCAGGCTCCTCTCTCTGCAGCCTGCACACCTGGTCCGGCGACCTATGACGTGGAGGACTGCTACGATGTGCGCTTCCCCTCAGCGCCTAGGGTAGTCATTCAGGGCGTACGAAGACCCAAGCGCCATGACACAGGCCCCTTCTGTGCGCTCTAGGGTCCGCTGGGCTCAGCCAGCCCTGCTGATTGCCTAGTGGACCCCTGGCTTCCCTTCAGCTCTCCCAGGCCTCCTTCTGGATCATGGGCATCGCAATCCAGGCTGGACCCTGACCTCTAGGTACCTCAGACCCATCCTCCCATTGGGAACCTTGCTGTGGGCTGTGGGCAAGGAGAGCCCGGACCAGGTGCCCATCCCCTGCCCATCCCCTTGCTGTACTGAGATGCAATTGGTTCTTGAACTCAGTGTGGGCCTGGCTGCTGTCCCTTGCCCAGTGGGCTGTCCTGAAAATGTAAACATCTTCCCTGTGTTTTTATCTTTTCTCTGGCGGTTCTAATTTTCCCCATTTGGGGTGTGCATTTGGCTGACCCTGCAGAGAGTGTTTTCTTCTGGGGTAATTGGGGTTTTAGTCTGGGGATGACCTGGAGCTTGCTGGCTGTGTCACCCCAAGGGGACTGGCCCAGCTGCTCATCTACTTGAGGATTAGGCTGCTTGCAGAGCCCAGGACCTAATGCTTGGGGTGGGGGCTGCTGTCTTGAGGGTCAGGGCAGAGTTGGCCTGCCCAGCTACCAGGGAGGGCCCAGAGGACCAGCTTGTAAGGACAGACTCTGTTTCCTGGGGCCTTGACCTGAACATTTAGCTTGGGCTCTAAGGACCTTGGCCAAGGTTATGCAAGCCCAGTCACAGCCTGGGAACTTCCTGGGCCTTCATGCATCAGGCCCCTATCCTGTCTGGAGCAGCAGCCTGGTTGTAGATCCCTTTGCCACCATTGCTCTGCCCTCCTACCCAGGGAGCCACTCAGCAGGGGTCCTCACCTGCACTAATGAATTCCCCTCCCCTACCTGGCTCAGCTCTGCTAAGGTTCTGGCCCAGTTGCCACTAAGGGCCAGCACCTATGTCCTCCGTGACTACCCCAAGCTGGGTTCAAACTCCTATGTCCTGGGGAACTTGTATAGCAGCAGTGGTGGTAGACCTCTGGGGGCCTTGGCTCTGGGCACTTGGCCCTAAGTGGAACAGGTTGATGCTGCACCACTAGGTACCCTGCAGACCCAAATCTGGGCTGAGGAGGCAGTTCTTTCTGGAGAGACTGTTTGCTGGGCAGCAGGGATGGAATTTCTAGTTCAAGCTCCAGTAGCAAAGGGAGAAGGAAAGGGAGAGTTGTGGTGGTCGATGTGGCCTAGGCAGGTCACAGGAGGCTTGAGTACTGGGTCTAGTGCCTGCACTGTCAGGAACAGAACCCAGCTTCCTGTTCTGCAGAGGATGAGGGGGAGGGTGCTATGGAGCTTGGATCTGGCTTCCAGCTCAAAGAAGGCCACACAAGTTAGCCAGATGGGGGGATCCTAATATCTCTGTGAGGAGGCCCATGGCTGTGTTCCCAAGAGGCCAGATCTGCGAGGTGCCAGGTGTTCCTGGAGGCGTTTTTTTTTTTTTTTTTTTTTTTTTGAGACAAGGTTTCATTCTGTAGTAACTCAAATTGGCTTTGAACTCTTGGGGATCCTCCTGCTTCAGCCTCCAGAGTGCTGGGATTACAGAAGTGAACCACCATGGGCGGCTGAAGGCACATTTAGACTTTAGTCTGCAGCAAGCTTAAGACATGAGCTTTCTCAGTTCAGCTGGAGGAAGTTAAGTTCCAGGAAGCCTCAAGGTCATGCAATATGTCTCACACCTGGCTGGTGGGACCCAGGTAGGGAGCTTGTTAAATTGCGATGCAAAAATATTCCCAGTATCCCGAGGCGGCTGTGAGATGAGCAATAGGTTTTGTGATTACAAAAATAGAGAATTCACTTGGGTAAAATGTCAGTTCTCAAACCCCTAAGGCGGCCTGGAGGAGACCTGACCAAGGCCCAGGCCGCAGGTCCCGCTGGGGTGGGCGGGGCCGCGCCGACGGCTGGAGCGTCGCTTGGGTGCCGCCCTTCGCGCGGTGTCACTCTGCCAGCTCCGGGTAGCTCGGCGCAGTCCGGAACCTGTGCGTTACGGTGGCGGAGTTTCAGGGGAGTGAATTGGCAGGAGGACCTGATTCCGTGCGGGGCGGAAGTGGGCGGTGCGGGCCCGTTCGGAGCCGCGCTGCGGGCGCGACCTGGTCGAGCTGGAGGCCGCGGGGGATCGGAGTTCGGGCGGTCCCCGAGGTCTAGGGGAGCGGGCTTCAGGGGTGTCCGCGGCGGCGCCGGGGGAACGGAGTGGCGATGGTGCTCCGAGCCAGGCGGCGGCTGGGGCCTCGGCCATGTTTGCGGGGCTGCAGGACCTGGGTGTGGCCAACGGCGAGGACCTGAAGGAGACCCTGACCAATTGCACCGAGCCGCTCAAAGCCATCGAGCAATTCCAGGTGGGTCCTCCACTCGTGGTTGTCCTGCAGGGAGATGCGGGGACGACCCAGCTAGGCGTGTACTGTGGGATTCGGGGTGCTTTCAGAGTTCCCGGTTTCCACCGGCACCACTGGGACATCCTTGGTCTCGGTGCCCTTCCGTGGACTTGACTGTGTTTTGGGGGCTCCCGGGGTGCCCAGGCAGATACGGGCATCTGCGGCTGAGATTTCTCAGAGCAGAACCCACCCGCACTGGGCCTTTGCTTTCACAGACGGAGAATGGTGTGCTGCTGCCTTCCCTGCAGTCGGCCCTGCCCTTCTTGGACCTGCATGGGACCCCACGGCTGGAGTTCCACCAGTCGGTGTTCGATGAGCTGCGGGACAAGCTGCTGGAACGAGTGTCAGCCATCGCTTCAGAGGGGAAGGCTGAGGAGAGGTAAATCTCAGCCTGCCAGTGGGGGAGGGGAGCTGTGCAGTCGCTTCTCAGCCGCCGAGTTGCCTGGGCAGCTTTAAGGTTGAGAAGATGATGCAGGACTGTGTGTAAGACCTCTTGGCAGGGTGTCCTGCCTGTGGAGATCCAGTCCTTCAGTTGCACAAATCTCTCCAGGTACAAGAAGCTGGAAGACTTGCTGGAGAAGAGTTTTTCCCTGGTCAAGATGCCCTCCCTGCAGCCAGTGGTGATGTGTGTCATGAAACACCTGCCAAAGGTTCGAGTCCTGGGACTTACTCTCTCCAGAGACCAGGACACCTGTGGCCTACCACAGTTTGGCCAGCCTGCCCATTTGCCTGTCCAGTTGCCTTTGGCTGGTTGAAGTCAGCCTGAAGGCAGTGGCTTAACTTGGGAGATTTGATTGACCTGCCTGCCTTGAGTGCTGTTCCCTGGGACTTCCTCTATGCTGCTTGTCCCAGGCAAGCCACATGAAGCCAGAAGCTTGGCACTCTTGTTGGAATGTGGGGCCCATTCTGGGAGAACCATGGGTATTAAGCCTATCTGTCTGCACCCACCTAGGCTTGGGGGACTTTACTGGTGCACTCTTGGTTGGACGGGGCTCTCAGCAGCCTCTAGCCACCTGAGGGCCTTGGCCTGTTCTGAGGGAGGCCAAGGAGACTGTGGTGTTGGTTGTGCAGGTTCCTGAGAAGAAGCTGAAGTTGGTGATGGCTGACAAGGAGCTGTACCGCGCCTGTGCGGTGGAGGTGAAGCGGCAGATCTGGCAGGACAACCAGGCACTCTTTGGAGATGAGGTTTCCCCACTACTGAAGCAGTACATACTGGAGAAGGAGAATGCACTCTTCAGCACTGAACTCTCTGTCCTGCACAACTTCTTCAGTCCTTCCCCCAAGACCAGGCGCCAGGGTGAGGTGAGGGGCTGTGGACACACAGAGATGCTGTCTTTTAATGTGTAATTTGTATGAATGATTTATTGAGCCATATTGCTTTTATTTGGGAGATGACTAAGTTTGCAGTGTGGTGAGTCTTCCATGTTTACAGCTTGTGTTGTCACCATGTTACCAATGCCAAAGAGCCACATGTGGCTGGTGGCTCCGGCTCTGTCTGGGCTCTTGAGGCTTCAAGGGATGATGCCATAATGAGGAGGAGAGGTGATAACCTGCATGTCTCTTCCCTGTGCCCCTCTAGTTTCAATCTTCTGGTCCCATCTCACCTATCACACAGATTGGACCCTTGCCCCTTCTGTGAGTTTGGGGTCCCTGTGACCCCCGTTTCTCCATTTCTGTCTTTCCTGATAAGCTGATTCTGTTTATGAGACTCACTTGCCGTGTCTTGTCCTAAGGTACACTTTCTTTGAAATGTTGTATTTTTATACACAAACAGAAAAATGTACAAAAGAGGAGAAAATCACCACCCTCCCTTTCCTGCCCACCTGGAAGTGGAGAGGACCCAGCCCTCACCCAAGCTGCACTCACGCTCTGCAGGTTGCTGGCTGCAAGCTGACTCCTGGCCCCACTTCTGGGAGGGGCGCCTCTTGGTCATATCGTACTGCTGGTGTGGAGGGCAGTTTCCCTGGTGTCTGGTGCTGTGGTCATCTTGCCCTTCCTTCCAGGCTGCACAGGCCACCGTATTTGTAGTGCTGTTTGTCTAGTGCGGGTACTGGGTGCAATTTTCCCTGAGGTTTCCAGTTGTCCTGGGTGTTATGGTCTGACTTTTCCTCTGGAACTGCATACCCTTCCCAGACTTCCTGCCTTGATATGCCCGGCCTTGCCATGTCTGCTCTTTGCCAATCTCATGTGTTCATTGTATTTTTTGTAACATCCCCCCCACCCCCCACTTATTCCTCTTTTTTTTTTAATCCTTGCGAATCTTTGCCTATAGGTATTTCTTTTGTTTATTTTTTCTTTTTTCTCTTTGAAGTAAAATGAATTAGTTGCTTTTTATTTATTTGTCTTTTTCTTTTTTTTTTTTTTTTTTATCGGTACCAGGGATCGAACTCACGACCACACACTTGCAAGGCAGGTGCTTATGCCACTGAGCTAAATCCCCAGCCCCAGTTGCTTCTTTTTAAAAACATTTTTTTTTTTTTTTTGAGGCCTTAGATTTGAACCCTGGGCATGCTAGACAAATGTTCTGCTCAGCTACATCTCCAATCCTCCATCCCCAGCTTTCTATTTCAAGGTCTCATCCTTGTTTAGTTGGGGAATGTCCTTTTTGTTGTTGTTTCTCTGGGATTTTTGGGGCCTGGGAGGTGGAACCTAGAGCCTCAGGTGTGCTGGGCAACTGCTGTACTGCTAAGCTGCACCCCAGCCCCTCAGAAACACTGATGAAAGCTTCCAGAGTTCAGGTGCACCTACTGTTTGTTTTGCTGACTTCAGTGGGTTGGTGGACTTAGACTTGCATTTCCACACATGAAAGATTTTTTTCACTGTTCTCTGGTATGCACTTATGAAGACGGCTGAGGGCTCTGATGTGCTGGACTTTGCAGCCTGATTTTCTGTGTCTGGAAGCTTCACATTCTGTGCTCCATGATACTGCAGTGCTGTGGCAGAGGGTGCCAGGCCAATACCTGGCCATGGTCCCTGTGTGGGGGGCAGTTGGGTGGGCCCTGGGTTCTGTCCCTGGCTGGCCTGTGATCAGGAGCCCTAAATTACCTCTGCCGTTTGATTCATGTGCAGTGTGGGCAGGGCTGTGGTCCACATTGACCACCATCATCATTAGGGTTGCCCGGCTCCCATATGGGTGGCTGGGAGCCCTGTGGGCCATGGGCACAGGGGTCATCTGCAGTGTCCGTGAGACAAGGCTTGCAGACCTGAGTGGCAGGACCATGCAGAGGTTCTGAGGCTGACCACTGGACCAGGGACTTGGTAGCCCTTGGTTTTACCGGTGGTAGGGCTTTGGGAGGTGGCCTGTGTCTGTGTTCATCTTGGCTGCTCACTAGCCTGCAGTTCTCAGTGTTACCTGGTGCCTTGGGCCTTCTGTGTTAGCCACCACCCTGGGCTTGCCTCAAGCATTTCTTCTCAACCAGGACCTGTGGGCCATGTAGCTCTAGCCCGTTGGTGACCAGGGAAGCTTGTGTTGGCTGCAGCCCTGTTAGCCAGGAGCCTGTTAGCCAACTGGACTGTGGCCTGAGCCCCACAAGTGGTGGCTCTGCTGCCCTGCAGTGAGGGTAGGGGAACCCTGGATGGTGATGCTTGTGCTCTGGGAAGCTGACAGGGATGGAAGCCTGAGGGACCCTCTCTGGAGGGGGCTGCCAGCCTAACTGGATCCCTGTTGGTGCTGTATGGCTCGGGTTGGGCTCCATGCGCTGTTTTTTCCAGGTGGTGCAGAAGCTGACACAGATGGTCGGGAAGAATGTGAAGCTGTATGACATGGTGCTGCAGTTCCTGCGCACGCTTTTCCTGCGCACCAGGAATGTGCACTACTGTACATTGCGGGCTGAGCTGCTCATGTCCCTGCACGACCTTGACGTGGGCGACATCTGCACTGTGGACCCCTGCCACAAGGTGTGCGTGCCAAGCTCTGTAGTCTGTAGTTGCTGGTCCTGCTGGGGTTCTCTGAGCACCCCAACCTTGCCACTCCCCTCACTGCCCCCGGCCCTCCTTCTGTCCCAGCTGGTGCAGGGCCTGTGGCCGCCCTGGAGCATCCCAGCTCTCCTGTCCTCAGCTACTGGCAAGTAGGCAGCGGTAGTTCAAAGTATCCCATACTGTTCCACATGGAGCCTTGCTATTGGGTGAGCTGCAGTGCTCACACATGGGCTGCAAGAAAATGGATCCACCTCCTGGCACTGCCCTGACTTGCAGCTTTCACTCCAGGGAGGGTACCCCTCCTTCCAGCAGACCCACACCCCCACGAAGGCTCAGAGATCCCTTCTGTCTGTGCCATGTAATCTGGTCCCAGGGACCGGGGTATGGCACTGGGTTTACTTGTCAGTATGTGATGGACAAGTGACAAGGCAGACGGCTTTAATCTGACCCAGCCCGGTGGCCTCCAGAGTGCTGCCATCTTCCTGCCCTCTGAGGCCCCTGGGTCCTGGGTGTGGGCTGTGCTGGGGCTTTGGGAGGTGGCCTGTGTCTGTGTTCATCTTTGCTGCTCACTAGCCTGCAGTTCTCAGGCCCCCTGGGCACTGGCAGTGTGGGTGAGTGCAGAGGGCCATTCTCTAGGGCCTGGGCCTTGCCCTGACCCTGTCTCTCCCTGCAGTTCACGTGGTGCCTGGATGCCTGCATTCGAGAGCGGTTTGTGGACAGCAAGAGAGCCCGGGAGCTGCAGGGATTTCTTGATGGTGTGAAGAAAGGGCAGGAGCAGGTCCTGGGGTGAGGGTTGGCCCAGTCCTCAGGGCCCTCATTCTGGGGTGCTCTGGGAGAGTGGTAGCAGGGGGACCCTATGTGTGTGGAGTGTGGGGTCACTGCTCCATGGTGTCTGCAGTGTTGGGGACCTTCTCTGAGCTGAGGGGTGGTCTGGGGGCCCTGACCTGGCTCCTGGTATCCTTGGACTGATGTGTGAACACAGTGCCATGGGGTATATCCCAGCCAGGGCTCCGAGCTAGCATTATCAGAACCTGGGCCAGTTTTTCAGAAGCAAAGCCTGTCCATGTACATACTTGTTTTTTTGTTTTTTTTTTTTTTTTGTCTTTCTCATTTTTACCGGTACGAGGGATCAAACTCACGACTGCCTATTTGCAAGGCAGGCACTTATGCCGCTGAGCTAAATCCACAGCCCCTCCATGTGCATACTTAACTTCCTAACTCTGGCTTGAAAGATCTTTTAAGTTAGTTAAGGATAAATTGTAAGCAACTCCAGACATCTGGAGTCAAGTCTGCCTGCTATGTAGAAGAGGCCACTTCCAGAGTCCATTCCCCAAGGCCTAGCAGCTTAGTGTTTAGCTGTCCCTTCAGCTAGCCATGTAGGGTGCAGCACCAGGTTGGGACAGCCAGGCTCCCCACTAATGCTGAGCACTGCTTCTTCCAGAGACCTGTCTATGATCCTTTGTGACCCCTTCGCCATTAACACGCTGTCACTGAGCACTATCAGGCACCTGCAGGAGCTGGTCAGCCAGGAGATGCTGCCCAGAGTGAGTGCAGGCGTGATGACCCGTGGGGGCTGCGTGGTGCACAGGGTCAGCGATGGCTGAGCCCCAGTGAGCTGTCAAGGCCTCTGTTTCCCCACAGGACAGCCCCGACCTCCTGCTGCTGCTCAGGCTGCTGGCGCTGGGCCAGGGTGCATGGGACCTGATAGACAGCCAGGTCTTCAAGGAGCCAAAGATGGTACAGATCCAAATCCAGGCTGCCCTACACTCTGTTCCTTGGGGGAGTGGCAAGGCAGGCTCCTCTGGTCCCACAGTGTCACCCCAGAGCCTCCTTTTGGAAAATACCCATTTGGGTGGATGGGCCGGCTATGTGATCATGCTAGGTGGGGGCTCAGGGACACAGAGCTTGGCAGGGTCCCAGGAAGCCAGAGGGTCTGGAGAAAGTGCAAGGGGGTGGCCCTGTGCAGATGGGCACAGGCTCAGGGGCCTCCCTCCTCAGGAGGTGGAGCTCATCACCAAGTTCCTGCCGATGCTCATGTCCTTCGTGGTGGATGACTACACGTTCAGTGTGGACCAGAAGCTTCCGGCAGAGGAGAAAGCGCCAATCACGTACCCCAACACGCTTCCTGAAAGCTTTACCAAGTGGGCCCCGGGAGCTGCAGTGGGAGGGTATGGGTTGGTGCAGCAGGTGACTGCTGGGCGGGGCTGACCATGGCCTGTGTCCTGTTCTGCCCTGTCCCAGGTTCCTGCAGGAGCAGCGCATGGCCTGTGAGGTAGGGCTGTATTACGTCCTGCACATCACCAAGCAGAGAAACAAGAATGCATTGCTGCGTCTGCTGCCCGGGCTGGGTGAGTGCCCTTGAGGTGCAGCCATGGTGCCCTGGCCTGGCCTCCAGCTTCCAGGATGTTTTCACTGGGGGATCTCCAGGTTACAGGAGGAAGGGCCCCCTTGGCCTCTGCACAGCTGTCATCGTGGGTCTGTGTGTGGCACCTGTGGGTGCTAGCGCCTAACTGAAGCAGTACGCTGTCTGGGTACATGGGGGACTTAGAGTGCTTTAGGGTGGTGACATCAAGCCAAGAAGAAGTGGAGGGGTTGCACAGGCTGTCAGGGAGTGGTGGCTTTGGGAGCATTTGTGTCAGCAAGTGACAGGTCCTGGTTTCTGCTCCCTTGGACCTTTTGAGTTTTGCACATATCATGCCAAGCATGTCACATGCGTTTTCCAGCTTTCTGTGTGGAGGAAGTCCTCTGTGGGTATTAATTTGTAGTCGGCCGTCCTCCACTCAGCTGGGTTAGTGGGTCCCCTGGCTGCTGGAAGGACCTGCCGCAGCCTCCTCAGGGATTTGGCAGCCAGGAGTCTTCTGGCTCAGGTGGGACGAGCGTTGGGAGGGCTAGCTCCTGCCAGCCCCACAGAGTCGGTTCCACGTGCTCTCTGGCTTCTGCGGATATCAGGACTTTGAGGGGCCTGGGCCCATTTGTGTTTTGCAATTCTAGAAGTGTGGTAAGAAGTGTTTTTGAGCTGCCTTGCCTTTTCTGTATGTTGGTACTGGGTACGGAACTCACCACCAGGTGCTTGCTAAGCAGGCGCTGTGCCGCTGAGCTGCATCCCTGGCTGTCTTGCTTTTTCTACGTTCATTCTGGTGCTTCCTGTCCTTCCTCAGCTGGGATGTGTCTCGAAACCTTTGCTTCCCTGGGGTGGCACGTGTCATTCAGTCCTGTTTAGGAAGGGCTTGTTTTTATGTCTGAGTGAATTCTCGTAAGCATGGACAGATTTTCTGAATTATCTTTTCTTTACAGTAAGTCCCTGACTTACAAACAGGTTCTGTTCTGGGAGAATGTTCATAGGTCAGATTTGTTTGTAAGCCTGACAAAATGAGTCTACACACCTTGATACAAATACAAAAAGTAAAGCATAAAAAAACCCAAATTGTACCATATGATCATGCCGAACACCCAGCAGAGCACCCAGTAGAGCACCCAGTAGCACAGCTGTGAGTGCCCTGCAGACACGGAAGCTGCTTCCTCGATGCGTTTTCCTCTTCGAGGGTTCATCTTTTGATGTCCATATGTATCTGTTAAAGTTCCCAACTCCAGTGCTCCTAAGTTGGTAGTTCACTATATTTATTTGGGATTTTTTGAGTTTTGTTTCATTTCCAGTCCAGGCATACTGAGCCAGATGGAAAGCTGGGAGCACACCTGGTGAGACCCCCAGGGTCTCGGCCCAGGTCTGTGCATGGTCCAAGAACCTGACATTGCCACCCACAGCCCTGAGCAGTTCAGTGGGCTCCCTGTGGAGGAAGGGGCTTCCCAGGACACAGGATGGACTGTGATCCCTCAGCAGCTGTCTATGGTCCATTCCTGTCAGGCTGGAGGCTCCCTAGTGGTCTCAGTGTCACTGGAGTGGTTGGGAGTCAGCTGTGAGAATCTGGGGTCCTGGTGGCTGAGACTCGGATGGTCAGGAGTAGCTTTGTGGGGGCCTGGTGCCCTGAAATGTCCTTCCATCCCACCGGTCGGGGCAGTGGCAGGGTCTGCCCTCAGGATATTCTCATGGATGTCCCCGTAGCAGTGTCTGTGTTGATAGTCCCTCACAGAGGTGCAACTGTGTGGGCCCCTGTCCCTACTGGGCTGTGGCTTCCCTACCCATCCCAGGATTTGGAGCTGCGCTATGTCCTTGCTCCTGGGGAATCATCTGTGTGGTGTTGGAGGACTTTACACTGTGCCCGGCAGCTGCTGGGCTCTATTCCAGCTAGAGTTCCCCCTCTGCCTGCACCCCAGCTATAGCTGTCTTGCTCTGCCAAAGGTCTCAGGCTCCACACCCTACTGCAGACCTTGTCCACTCCCCAGGGCCTGTACTGACCTCAAGACACCCAGGAGTCCTCTGGGGCCATAAGGCAGGGGGCAGGGGTGTGGTCTGGCTGACCACTGTGTGGTTGCAGTGGAGACCTTCGGTGACCTGGCCTTCAGTGATATCTTTCTCCACCTGCTCACCGGGAGCCTGGCTCTGCTGGCTGACGAGTTTGCCCTGGAAGATTTCTGCAGCAGCCTCTTTGAAGGCTTCTTCCTTACTGCCTCACCCAGGTGAGCCGCAGGTGCTGGCTGGCCCAGCCGTCCCAACCTTACAGTGTGGGGGCAGCCAGGCCAAGCTGGGAGGGCTGTGGGTGACCCTGGCTCCTGGGCAGTGAGAAGAATCTGTAGGGGTCCACAGTGCTGGTGGGCTGGGCCTGGATGAGGTGGGGGTCAGTACCCCAGCCCTAGCCTAGCATGGCCTTTGCCAGGAAGGAGAACGTGCACCGGCATGTGCTGCGACTTCTGCTCCACCTGCATGCCAGGGTGGCCCCATCCAAGCTGGAGGCCCTGCAGAAGGCCCTGGAGCCCACAGGCCAGGTTGGTGCCCCCTACTCCCAGTGCCACCTGTGAGCACCCTGCTGTGCTGGCCTCATAGCATGCTTGGTGCCCACTGTGATGTCTGCTTCCCCACATTGACCCCTGCTGCCCCTCCATGACCCGCTGCTGTGTAATGTGGGGTGGCCTGGCTCTGCCCCCAGAGTGGAGAGGCTGTGAAGGAGCTCTACTCCCAGCTTGGAGAGAAGCTGGAACAGCTGGACCATCGGAAGCCCAGCCCTGCACAGGCTGCTGAGACACCCACGCTGGAGCTGCCCCTGCCCAGCATGCCTGCCCCAGCTGGGTTGTAGGCCTCGGGCTCTGTGGGATCTGCAGGTTAGGGACCAGGCCCCAGTCAGCCAGGAAGGAAGCTTCTGGCCCAGTGAGCAGGGCCAGCCAAGGGCTAGACCCCGTGGGCAAGCGCCCCCTCCTCTGCTGCCCTCTACCCACCCAGAGCTGGTCCTGGCTTTTGCTGCCTACCAGGGCACCTGTTTGCCAACCCAGGACCGGGTACTTTGTTATAGGCTCTGAGTTTCCAGCCTTCACAGAGGTGGGTGATGAGGAGTTAGGCAGCAGGGAGAGCAGGGCTCAGCTGACTCCACTGTGGCACAGGCCCAAGGGTGGCGCTGTCCTGGCCAGAGCAGGGGTTGCTAGCTGTAGGGTCTGAAGATCTACAGGCCCATGTGCACTGTCCCCATACCTGTGGCCCTGCAGGCAGCACCCCTTCCTCCACAGTGCCCACCTCAGTTTCCTCATGACAGCTGCTTGCTGCAGTTTGACCCTGGGCAGGGGCAGTGCATGCTGGGAGGCCTCCACATATGTAAATAAAGACATTTTGGTAAATCCCTGGGTGTTGGTGCTGGCATGGGGGTGGGGCAGCCAGTGGTGGCCTACAGTATTGTTAGCAGAGCCTACTTTCTGCCTCCCTGTGCTGCCTGCCCTGCATGGTGGCCCCAGCCCTGGGCAGTTGAGGGTCCCAAGGCTGGGACAGACCAGCTCTTTGGCTCTCATCTGGGTCCTGGCTGAGGAGCTTCCCCCAACAGGATGCAGAGCCTAGGCACAGTGCTGCAGGGTTGGAGCTGGTGGACTTCACAGCTGGGTGACCACTCTGAGCTGTCTGTTGTGATGGCTGCAGGAGGCAGGTCCCTGTGGAGAAGGGGGTGGTGGGTTTGAGGAGCCTCAGCCTCAGTCCTCCGTGGAGATGGGGTGGGCATGGGCAGATGGGAGTCAGGGTGTCATGCAATCACAGGGAGGATCTGGAGGCCCAGGGCTATATCTGTTGAAGCCTCCTGGATGGAGCCAGCGCTGGGGGCTGTGAGATGCAGGCATGACATGGTGAGGAGAGGCAGTGAGTGCATGTGCTCCTGAATCCCATCTCATAACCCTACACTGGATCTTGGGGCTCCCTATTGGTGACCCTGTTAAATCCTAATCCTTTCAGAGGTCCCTGGTTAATGAGGTTTCTACCTCTTCACACCTCATGAAGGCAGAGCCTCAAGACTGTGCTCAGACTATAGCCTAGCCACAGGGAGTCCTCAGTAGGGAGTTGTTGGGACCAGCAGTGTAAGAAAATGGGCTGTGGGAAGGACTCTAGAGTGAAGAGTGGTCCTTGGGGTGGGGCAGCAAGTCAGGGCCCTGGGCCTCCAGTGCAGACATGCAGGGAGGGCAGGCTGGTGGTATGGACGGGGGCCCTCTGCTGGCATTCGTCCGTGTCACTCCTGGAGCAGGAAATGACCACTATAAGGTGGCCAGGAGTGTATCTGACACTGGTGAGGCAGTGGGCAGTGTGGAGGGTCACCTGTGGTCACAGGATGGACAGCTGGCCTGCTCCGGGTCCTTCCAGGTCTGCCTGCAGGGGACAGTGGCAAGAGCCACAGTTGGGGAGACCAGGGCCAGAGTAGCCATGGGGCGCAGGTCAGAGCCAAGGATCAGTGTGTATTGGGGAGACGAGAGGGAAGACTGCCAAGCTGACCGTCACAGTCAGCTTGGTCACTGGTGGAGGGTGGGACCCCAGGATGCAAAAGTCTATTTGAGTGCATCGGTGACTAAGGAGGGGTGACAGCTGCAGAGACAGCCTGGAGGGACCATCCTCAGGGGACTACCTTGGCAGGTATGGCCTGAAGAGGTAAACACCTGGGGGTACTGAGGACACCTGCGATGGGAGGGGGGTGCTGTCGTCCTCCAAGCCACCATTGTCAGGGGCTCAGCCCCACAGTGTGAGTCCTGAGAGTGCAGTGGCTGCGGCTAGGTAGGTGTGCAGGAAGCAAAGCCTCCAGGATGGGGCACAGTGCACTGGGGCTGAGACCCAGGTGTCAAGAATTGGACTGTGGTCTTTGCACCAGGAAGGAAAGTGTAGGGCCAGGTTTCCCCTTGGCCTTATAAGGGTAGCCAGCCTGACAGAATGCTTCAGTGAGCTTCTTCCCCACCTGAGGGTGGGCTCTGGGCCATCACGGGCTTGGCAGTAGCTTTTGCCAGTACTACACCCACCCATGGATGTAGCACCTCCTTATTGTAGCCCTTGCCCGCCTCATCAGTAAAATGTGAAACTGTGGAGACCAGAGGGGTCCTGGAGAACCCTCTTCCCTGCCTCAGGGCTTTCACAACTTTCTGCAGAAGGATATCCTGGATGGCTGGGGAGCTGGGGACAGGATTGCCTGGGATTAGGCCTGTGCATGCTGCCTCCGTGCAAGTGAGGGAGATGGGGAGGCTGCCTCCAAAGGAGGGGCGCCTGGCCAACAGCAGGCAGGTGGACCGGAAAGTTGGGGCCTCTGCCCTCTACCTTGTGCCAAGTTCCACATGTGCCCAGCTGCCAAAGGGACCCTGAACCTCATGTGCAGTGTGGGGGCCTCTACCTCGCCTGGGTTCTAATACTCAATGTCCTAACAGTTCCTCCCCACTCGCCAGTCCTGCACCTGCCACCCTGTAACCCTGTGACCCTCAAGCACCCTGCCTCAGCACTGTAGACTAGGCTGTGGTTAGGTTGGGTTATTTTTAAGTGTGGCCCGTCTGGGGTGGTGGGGATAGTAAGGGGGCCTTGTTGGGGGTTGCAGAGATGGGACAGAGGAAGGTCAGGCTAAGATTAGAGAACCCAGCCGGACAGGCACAGGAGAGGCAGTGGTAGTGGGGGGTGGTCCGTGTTGGGCAGACTGGGCAGCACGGAGATCCAGGAGGCCGCAGGGGGTCCTCTTCGCCAAACCAGTCTCCTGTGGGAGCCGCAAGCTGAGGAGGGGGTGACCAGCCTGAGAGGGGGCCCTGGCCGACAGCCAGACCTCCTCGCCCAGCGCCTCAGTCCAGCCTAAGTCCCGCCCGGCTGCACCCCTGACTCACTTCCTCTGCGGGAAGCGGAAACCTCCCTGGAGCTTCCTCCGCTGCGGACTCTCCCTGGGGACCCGCAGGTGTCGCGGCCCGGAAGGCCCCAAAACCACCGCACCCCGGAGCCCGGCGTTTCCTGCTTCCTGCATCGTCTCAGGGCCGCAGCTGTGCAGAGGGCACGGAGCTGGGGAGCGCGCAGCTCTAGGTAGGGTCGGGCACCAGGGCTCCATCCCTCCTCCTGCTCTTCTGTTCCTCTCTGCGTCTCACCCCTGCCAGCAGCGGGACTCCCCATCGCCGCCTCCGCAGTGTTGGGGAGGTGGCTACTGATAGGACCTCAGTTGGCATGGGGCTGAGAGGCCTGGCAGAGCCTGGGGCGCATTCACAAAGCTTCGAAGCCTCCCAAACTCTGGGGGTACAGGCCCTCTCCGAGCTCCCGGGGTCTGCTTTCTATCTCTAAACCCGCTCCTCTGGGATGTGTGGACCTGACGCCTGGCAGCCCGGTGGGACCCTAAGCCGGGTGGGTCACCTGACCTCACTTCCTCCGGCCCCTGGCTGGCGGACCCTGACTCCTCCAGGAAGCCAGCAGATGTCGATAGCTCCCCCCCCCCCCCCGCCACTTCCTTTGGCCGAGGCCTCTCGGGTGGGCGGGCGCACCCGTGGGATTTGCATTGCACGGCCACAGCTTCCTGGTCAGCAAGCGAAGTGGGGCCGAGCCGCAGCCCGCGGACCCTGAGTCGGGGCGCCCGTGGCCGGAGTCAGCGAGCTCCCCGTTTTTCTTGCAGGGCGGGTGACCTGCATGCCGAACACTGGCCCCTCGCCATGGACCCGCAGCCCGCGAACCCCGCGAACCCCGGGCCTCGCACCCCGGACCCCTACGTGATAGCGTCGGTACGCGCCGCGCTCCGCCTGCGCCGCCGCGTGTTCGTCCTGCGTAAGCGCAGCCTCTTGCAGCCCGGCGTAGGGTCGAGCGAGGGGCCCGGGGCTCTCAGGCCAAGCTGCAGTCCTGGGACTCTGCGCACCGACCTGGCGAAACCCAAGTTCTTCACCTTTGATGGCCCGGCCGAACTGGAGCCCCGGACGCCTCGCAAGAGACGGCGGCGCAGCCGCGTGGTGCTCTACCCCGAGGCATCGCGCAGATGCCGGCCGCGTGCGGAGCGCCAGAGCCGCGCGCAGCGCTGCCTGCTGCTGCTGGTAGCCATCGTGGGCTTCCAGGTGTTGAATGCCATCGAGAATCTGGATGACAATGCGCAGCGTTATGACCTCGACGGACTAGAGAAGGCGCTGCAGCGCGCCGTATTCGGACAGCCCGCCGCAGTGAGCCGAATCATGGCGCTGTTGCGTGACTACCTGGCCACGCATGTGCACAGTCGCCCGCTGCTTCTGGCGCTACACGGGCCCAGCGGCGTGGGGAAGAGCCACGTGGGCCGCCTGCTGGCACGCCACTTCCACGCGGTGCTGGAGGATGGGGCGCTCGTGCTGCAGTACCATGCCCAGCACCACTGCCCTGAGCCGCACGCTGCACAGGGCTGCCGCGAGGAGCTGGCGCGTCGGGTGGCTGCTGTGGTGGCGCAGGCGGAGGCTGAGGAGAAGACGCCGCTTGTGGTGCTGGACGAGGCAGAGCTCCTGCCACCTGCGCTGCTGGACGAGCTGCATGGCCTCCTGCAGCCGCAGCGGGCACACCAGTTCCACAACGCCATCTATGTCTTACTGAGCGGCATGGGTGGGGCCGAGGTCACGCGCTTCGTGCTGCAGAACGCGTCCCGCGCTCTGGCCCCAGGCCCCGATGCCATTGTGGCGGAGGAGGAGCTTCGCACACGCCTCCAGGAGCTGCTGGTGCGCGAGCACCCGCTGTGGAGCTCCGCAGCCGTTGTGCCCTTCTTGCTACTGGACAAGCAGGATGTGGTCAGCTGCTTCCGGGACGAGATGGCTGGAGAGGGCTTCTTTCCTGAGCAAGCGCGCGCAGAGAGCCTGGCTGCACAGCTCAGCTACTACCAGGTTGCAGGCCGCGAGTTTGCTGTCACGGGCTGCAAGCAGGTGGTGGCCACAGTGAACCTCTTGTAGTGCAGGTGTGGACTCTGGCACGGGGCCTATGACTCAGGGCCAGGGCTGGGTTGCCTGAGGAGGGGGTAGATGGGAGTGACTGGACTGCAAGTACCCCACTCTGCCTCCACCCCAGGGCTCCTGGAGAGTCCTTGGGGCCACAGGCAGCCAGCCACCTTCCCATCTTTGACCCCATTCAGGTTTGACTCCATTCAGGATTCCTGCAGCCCCAGGAAGTAGGCAGGCTGTTCCCCTGGTAGAAAGTGATCCTACAGGGCCAGCAGCCCCCAGGACATACAGCCAGTCCCCCGGGTCACAGAGCCAGCATGGGGGGCTTGCTGCAGCCTTCCTTCCCAGGAGCTCCCTAGAGGGCAGTGGAGAGGATAGATGTCTCCAATCCCAAAGTGTGGCCAGGGGACTCTTTTAGTGCTCTGGGACAGGGAATGGGCCTAAGTGGGGGGCCCCGATTTCCTGGTGGCTGAACAGGTATGTCTTGAATCCAGCTGATGCCACTCTGGCTCCTGTCCCTAGAGAGTGGTCAGGCCCCCTGTCTGTGGCATTTCCCGGAGTGCACAGCGCATATGCCAGGCCATGGGAGAGGTGGAGGCCTGGGCCAGGGTGCAGTGACCACCACAGCTGTACATCTGTCTCCAGTGCGGTGGCCTTTGATGTCAAAGCTATCTGCCTCTCCCAGACAATCCTCAGGGCCTTCACACCATACTATTGGGAAGCCCTGGCTCCTTCCACAGCACAAGCCTTAAGAGGAAGAGGCTGCTCAGTGCTGGGAGCTTGTCTGGTGACTCATCTTGGGGTGCAGTGCCTGGCTTCACCCCAGCCCTTCAGGAGGGTACAGCAGGTGGGATTGCAGCAGGACATTGATTAGGACAAAAACCTGAGTGGGGCAAAGAATGAGAGGCCCCTGGGGGTGGCGGTGCTACCTGAGGTTAAGGCCTGGGATGTGTATGTCCCTGGTCTGAGCTCCTTCCTGGAACTATCAGAGCCGGTGTCCCTTGAGGGGCCCGCTAACCCACTACCTGAGGGCCTGCTCATTTGTGGGGATTCAGGTCCAAGTCTTGGGGCAGACTGAGCAGTCCAACCTGAGCCAAGCACAGCCACTTGGCCTGGGGAGATCAGGATCCTCCTCCCCTGGGACTGGGCTCCCTCTTCCAGCCCCAATGGAGGGCATTGGCTCTGCACCACCTCAGCTCTGTGCTGATGTTCCAGGGTGTGATGCTGGGATCCTCACTGCTCCCCATGGGGGTCCCCCAGGACTGTCCCTGCCCAGCACAGCACTGACCTCAAGGTGTCACCTCCCCAGGTAGGTGGAGTGCATGTTCTCTACCCAGCTAGCAGCACCCACAGGTGTCTGCTGAAACCTATGTGGGATTTTATTTATTTCTAAACTATCCCATCAAAGTAGATTTCAGTGCTTAATAGGAATGTGCACTTGGCACCGTGAACTGATTGTATCACACCTGTAATAAATCATGTGGCTAAACCCCAGCAAGTTGCTTGTTTGTTTGTTTGGTCTGTTTGACCTATTAATAACTGAGAAGGGCATGCTGAACTATCCCACCTACTGGTAGATTTATCAGGTTCTCTAAATCTTCACGTGAACACAACATACTAATTTGACAAGTTTTGAGAAACACCTGGAGATGGAAATGGTGCAGACTTGGCAAGCTGATGGTGAGGGAGGACCAAGGGCACTCGTAGCTCAGAAATATCAGTCAGATTCCCGCCACTGGCACAAAACACCCAGCACCCATGACTTCAAAGAGGAGAGGTTCATTTATGGCTCATGATTCTGGTGGCTTCAGTCACTGGTAGGTTGCCCCAAGGCAACAGCATGGTAGAATAGGCAAGTAGAGCAAAGCTGTTCACCTCATGCCAGTCAGGAAGCGGAGCACAGGGAAGATCCAGAGAGGAAGAGGCAGGGATCAGAGGGAGTTCTTGGCATCTCATCCCATGGCTTAGCCAGACACCCCCAGTAGTGTGCTATACTAACTAGTTCTCTCTCAAGCCATGTTGACTGTTGGCACCAAATCCTCCAGCACTAAGAAGGAATTTTCCTTTTTGTCTAAATAGATGCTGTAAGTAGACTCCTGGGGCTGGCTGAGGGAGGTGCTGACTAATCAGATCATCCACGTATGACAGTGAGCAGCTGTTTGCAGCATGCTGAGCCTTCTCCACATGTTCCCTGTGTCCCTGTAGTTATTCTTGTCTCTCTTGAGAGCATCATTTTTTTTTTTGTGCCAAGAATCAAACTCATGACCTTGTGCTTGTCAAGCAGGTGCTTACGCTCATGAGTTATATGCCCAGATTGAAAGCAGCTTTTTCTTAAAGTGTGTTTTGTCTCAGGGTAATGAAACAGTGTCTGGGATTTACTCTTCTTGCTTGTAAAGAGCAAGTAGTTGGATTTTCAATAAGTCAAACTTGACAATCCTAGTCTCTGAGCTGCCAACTTAGTCCATTTACGTTTATTGTAAGTATTCCTAAGTTTATGTGACTTGACTCTGTACCTTTCAGTTGTCATACTTTATGTTTTCTTCCCCAAAGTCCTGGCTGCACTTAGAGGGTTCACACTGAGTCACGTCCACAGACCTTTTATTTTGATTTTGAAAGAGGGCCTTGTTAGGTTACCCAGGCTGGGCTCATACCTGAAATCCCTGAAATTTTTGTTGAATGCGTTTAGGTATGAAACAGCTCTCCCTTTTAGACATCCTGTAGCTTCCGTTCTGTTAGATCCTGCATGTGGGTTTGTGGGTGTAATACACTGCTTGCCCAGTCAGTCTACTCTCCCCACACCTACCCAGCACTTGATTCCACACTCTTGTGTCCAGGAGTCCTGAGACCTGGCAGGGACCCACTGTGGCACTTCATGAAGTGTCTCCCACAGCACTGGACAGGGTGCCTAACCCTGCATCGAATTCTTGGCTGAGCCCACAATGGGCAGTGGGCCCAAGAACTGACTGGATCGCCATGCTGGCCCACTGATCAGTTCACTGCTGCAGTGCTGTTGGGGGTGAAGTCCTGTGGGAGGACTCTGGTCTCCTGGTGTCTTTCCTGGGCTGCCCTGCTGCTCTGTCTGCTTCCTGACTGCAGCTCCCCTCTGCCAGCCTCTCCACCTTGACATCTGCTCTCTGCAGCCTCTCAGTGGATCCAGCCTATCTTGGCCTGAAACCTGAAGCCATGAGCCCTCTCAACCCTCCTTCTTCCTATTCCTCAGGGATTTGGTCACGGGGACAAAAAGCTGACCAATATGATGCCTGAAAAATCTCTGGGAGGTCTTCGGGCCTTTTCTCTGAGGACTCCCAGTGCTGCCAGATTCTTCAGCACAACCTGTTGGGCCAGGTTAGCACTTCCCTGGTTACCTGGGGTCAGGACGTCTCGGTTGTCTCAGCTCTTTCAGGTCTCATTCACTGTCATCTGCCGGGTCCTGTCATGTTCCACAGAGGTCCTGCCCTTTTGTCTGCCTCCTAGAGGTGAGTTCAGTGAAGTGTGTGCGGGTGTAGACTTGGTTTCCCCACAGAGTGCAGCTGCAGCCATGTCTTGGTCCCACCCCAGCTCCTCCTTGTCCCCAGCTCCTGCCCTGCTATCAAGGTCATCAACACCCAGTGTCCTCCACAGCTCATTGCCCAAGCACTCGGTCTGATTCAAGCCTCACATTTAGCTTTCTGGTTCTTTTGGAGAAGCAGCTTTATGGAGGCACCGCTGTAGGCCGTGCAGTGCTGAAAGTGGGCAGTTGGAAGATGTTTAGCAGATCCATGAAGTGCGGCTGCAGCACAGTTCAGACTCAGTCAGCTGCCTCTGTTTCCTAAAGCTCCATCTTGCCCAGTCTTGTGGTATCCCAGCCCAGCTCTGCTCAAAGGGGCACACCTGCTTCCTGTTGCTGCTGGTTTGTCCTCTTTTGTTGGTTGGTCTCTCTTTTTTTTTTTTTTTTTATCGGTACCAGGGATCGAACTCACGACTGCCTGCTTGCAAGGCAGGTGCTTATGCCGCTGAGCTAAATCCCCAGCCCCTGTTGGTTGGTCTTTTTGGGGACAGGGTCTTGCTATATAGCCTAGGTTGATCTTGAACTCCCTCAGCAGGCCTTGAATTTAAGGCCCTCCTCCTGCATCAACCTCGCTGGGTGCCAGCTTTATAGGTGTGTAGCACCACACCTAGCTATGGATTTTAATCCCACGGCAAAGTGCTTCTCAATAGTGCCCAGGTTGGGTTGGAATAGGCCATGCGGCTGTAGCCTGGCCAGGCAGACACCACTGCCGTCCTCACGACCCCTCTGTCCTCTTCGCCTCTCCATCCCACCACTCGGATCGGCACCTTACTCTTTTTTTTTGTCTTTTTCCTTTTTATCGGTACCGGGGATCGAACTCACGACTGCCTGCTTACAAGGCAGGCGCTTATGCCGCTGAGCTAAATCCCCAGCCCCGGCACCTTACTCTTGACCGCTGAGTTTCATAGTTTTTCGGTCAAGTAAGTAAGGCTGTTGAAGACTGTTTTACTGGCTCTAGTCCCTCATCTTTCTGCATGAATGTTCAGATCAGGCTGACAGTTTTGAGGACAGAGCAAAGATGTCCAAGTGTTGGTGGAAGGTGGCTCCAGAGGTCGAGCTGGGCGTGTAGAACTGCTGTATTAACAATGTGGAGGTCTTTGATCCATCCCTTCAGCTGCGTATGAACAGTGCTACCTCAGTTGTCAAACGGCTCCATGCTGGAACTTCCCAGTACTGGAACAGCAAAGTGCAGGAAAATCTGCTCAGTGTTGAATGCAGAATCTGACCTGAAAAGCTGGCTGGCAGGAGTCCCAGACTGTCTCACTAAGGACACAGGGTTAGTGACCTAGGCAGAGACACTAAGAGGAAAACAGAGCTGTAGTAGGGTTAAGGAAAGAAATAATCACAAAATGTGTGAAAGTCCTGGAAATATGTATTTATAAGTGAATTTCTGGGCCTCAGAACCAATTATTTGGTTTTCCATTATTTCTTATGGGAAAAATAAGTTAAGTTCTCAAACTTTTCAGTCTTTTTTTGTTTTGCTTTTTGTCTTTTTGAGCAGTCTCGTTATAAAGGTCTGTATAGTTCTGGCCTCGAACTTGAGCAATCCTCCTGCCTCAGCCTTCTGAGTTCTAAGCCACCACACCCGGCCACTTTTCAGTGTTTGAGCAGAAATTTGGAATGAACTGAGTTCGAGACCCAACAATGGCCATACTTACTTTCCTAGGAACTGAAAGTCAGGTGAACTAGAGAAAGTAATCAGCTTATAGGTAACAGCAAGTTAGTCTGTTAACAGCAACTTCGACCTCTGCGCAGGTGGACTCCCGGCTCCTGTTCCTGTGGCCTGCTTCCGGCTGATTCTACTGAGGCCACACCCTCGCCCCTAAGCCAGCGGCAGCGCGCAGACCTGTGAGCCTTTGGGCAGTGGCAGCAACGCGACCGACAGCGGCAGCGGGCCGCTGGGGATACGCTGCGCGCAGGCCAGGCCGGGGCGGGGCTGCACGCCCCCAAGCCGCTCCTCACTTAGATCACTGCTGTGTCTCAGCGATGTTTTGTGTTTTCCCGTGTACAGGTTTTGCAAAGTGTATTCCCTATATTGATGAGTTGCACGTGGAATTGGTTTCTTAATTTCATTATTCACTACTGGCCCAGGGAAATAAAATTTGTGTAATTTCTTTATTGTGATTTTTGAGAGAAGGTCTGTATAGTTCAGGCTGGCCTCAAACTCAACAGTCTCTTGCCTCAGCTAGGATTACATTCCTGCCCACGCCGGCAGAATCTATAGTTTCTCTTATATCTTGCAAGCTTGTTGGACTCATCTATTATTGCTACTCATTCTTTTTTCTTTTTCTTTTCTTTCCCCAGTGGTGACACACATGAGCCTCTAGTTTGATTCCTATAGTTTTAATAATAATTCCTGTAGAAAAAAAAATTTCTCTTTGTGTTTATGGCTGATAGGGTGTATCCAGCATGGTGCTGGTGAACCTTTTAGACCTTGCAGTGACAACAAACAGCCCACTGCAGCACACATACCATGAGTTCACCCCACTGCACTAGGTTATCAGGGTCCAGACTTTGAATTTTAGGGCTCTTCCTAAAATGACAGATGAACAAGTTCACTGTTCTATTTCTGAAGATAAGACTTCTAGAGGTTTGATGGGAGTAACATTGGGTCTTGTGTTAGCTTTCAGTCACTGTGAAAACATACATTAGGAAACATTTTGTGATTTTTTTTTTTTCTGAGACAGGATCTCAGTATGTACTGCAGGCTGGCTTTGAACTCACTGTGTAGCCCAAACTGGCCTTGAACTCATGGCAATCCTCCTGCCTCAGCCTCCCGAGTGCTGGAATCATAGGTGTGCACCACCACGCCTGGCAGAAGAAAACATTTTAAAGGGGGAAAGATTTATGCTGGCTCAAGGTTCCAGAGAGTTCAGGCTGTTGTCAGTTGACTCCATGGTTTTCAGGCTTTGGTGAAGGTGCAGCACCCATCGTGAAGGAAGGGTGC